TATTAGAGATATCTTTTATTTATCCTAATAACACTCTAAGCAAGTGCCCTGCTATTAAAGTTTTATAAGGTAGCTAACAATTAGGTAGTAGTGTTTATACTACTACTATCTATAACTAACCTCCCCCTAGCTCCCCCTAAACTATTATTTATATTATTTTAACGCCTCTACGTCTCTTAGCAATAGTAGTAACGCTTACGCGTGGTGCGGGTAGGGGAGGACTTAGTTAAGGAGTATAAGTAATAGTAGTAGTAGTAGTAGGAGGAGGGTAGTGCTTTAATAGTCTACTAATATATAGCACCCTAGGCCTAAAAGAAAGTAAATATTAGAATATATACAAAGGGAACAAAGGAAAATTAATACTAATAATAAGAGTCTTAATACTATAGGTAGTGCGCTTAGCAGCGCTCTTAAGCTTATTAATATAAAGGTTAGTTTAGGCCTAGGTCTTATTTATACGCTAGTTAATACGCTAGAAGGCAACACTAGTAGTAGTAGTAAGCTGCATAACGTTGTTATTGCCACAACTACTATGTGAAGGCGTAATAGCAGACTAAAGTAGAAATACTAGAGCACTAGTAGTAGATAGAATAATAGCACTAAGCTAATACTAATTATAGGCGCGTAAGTAGGTAGTAGGGGCGAGCAGAGTAATAGTATTATTAGTTATGCAAGGGACCCTTAATATAAGATCCTTAAAATAGTAGTAGAGCTAGTAGAACTATAGTATAAACTAGTAATAGGTGCCTTTAGTAGGTTTCCCTATAAAGGTGCTAAGGGTTCCCTTCTTTATAATATAGAGGCAATCCTCCTAGTAACTATAATAAAACTAAAGCTAGTTGCAGAGGGCTTAGCAAATATTAGGATTATTAGTAAGGATAGCTTCTAATTAAGTATAGGTCTTGTGGCTATAATAGTAGGACTTACACAAGCGCCCTAGATATAGTTAGAACTTGCTATAAAGAAAATAAAAATTAAGGGGAACTTACTACTACCTTCCTAATAGTCACACTTGCTAAAAAGATAAAGCTAGTTAATACACTAATTATAGGGAAGTAGCTTTATAAAGCTACTATTATATTCCTTATTATCTAAGTTACTAGAAATAATAAAGCTACTAAGTAACTAGGTTTAGGGAGATGTGTACTAAATAAAAAGTTAGTATAGAAAATATAGGGAGAACATTAGAAGTACGCACCTTATCCTAGTAGGCCTAGCGCAGGGTCTAACTGCCTTGTAGTAGATCCCTACTACTAGCACTAGTAGTAGCAGATAATAATATAATAGGGGCTAGATAGGCGGGATTAATAGAAAGAGAGTAGAGAGAGGGCTAATTAGTAGGGAGAATCTGTTGTATAACAAGTAAGTTTAGGAAATTTATAGTAGGGTAGGATAGCTATATTAGAACTTTTATAGTAGGGTGCTAAAATAAGCGCATAGACGCTACACGCGTGTACTACTTAATATACAGGCCTATTATAAATTAGGAAGGAATACAAAGATATAACAATAAAACTAAAAAAAAATATAGTAATAAAGCCTAATATAGATTATAGAGGATAAAGATATAACCCTAGACCCCTAGAAAAACAATTTCACGATAGGTTATAGGGGAAGGTTAGGGGTATGTGAAGGGCTTAGGCTTATGCCCAAGCCTTAGTCTAACACAAGACGGACTAAGTCTAACACCACTACTAAGCGAACACACTAGACACCTATAAAAAGGCGTAGAGGGCTTATCTCTCCTTTAAGATACTAAATACTATTATCAACGCTTATTGCATTCTCCCTTAAGGCTAGTCCATAACAAGTAGTATTAAAAAGAAGTTTACTAGCCCCTTTTCTATCTTCTCTACTACTAGGCTCTTCTCCTCTACTAATAGTAACCTAAAGGTATGCTTCGCAAAACACGTTTATAACACGTTCCTAACTTATTATTAGTCTATAACTATAAACTTTATAATAAAAGGCTCTTCTTAGTAATTAGGCTCTAAAGAAGAGAAAAGAAAAGCTAGAGGTAGATAAGGAAGAACTTATATAGAAAAAGGCACTATTTAAATTGTAAAAGGTATAGTTTAAACTTAAGAAAGAGATAGCTACTTTTTATATAAGGTAGGGTTAGTCTATAAATATAGTAACTAGTTCCTAACTAGTTCTTAATATATTCTAGTCTATTATATAAGCATATATAAGTAGATAAATATATATTCTTTCTTCTTCTCTTTCTTCTTCTTTCTTCTTACACTCTATAAGAACTTTTTATATTTAAGAGTTTAATACTATTTTACTATCTATCTTTCCTAATATTATTAGATATAACTAGTTAATATAGTCTATAAAGATCTTTTAAAGTTAGTATATAATAGAATGTATTAGGAATATGTTATAAACTTGTTCTAACGCTAAGTAGGATTTATACTAGTAATATATTAAGCTTAAGTTACTTCTATCTAATACTAGGGCATTCTCTCCTATAATATCCTACCTAAATAATAGGTGTATAGTATTTCCTAGCAAGCTTTTCTACTAGGCTATTTAGGCTAGATTAGGGGTATAGGAACTTTGTAGAGTATATATATATACAAGTTAGAACACGTTTATAATATATTAATAACTATTTTAGTATTGCTTCTCTAATAGAGGTAATCTTATCTACTATCTTAAGAGGTATTATCCTAAGGTTTAAATAGCCCTAGTAAACTATAGTAGAATTATAATATAAGGTATTATAGAAGCAAGGATCTTCTATAGGAGCTTAATAGTAAATACTTAAGAACATATTCTAAACACGTTAATAATACGTTCTCTACTAGTAGAGCAGACGTACACTAAGTGCCTCCTCTAAGGTTTAAGAACCCTCTAAGATAGCTAGTCTATAATAAGAAGTAGTAGCTAAAGTAGAGGCTAAAAAGGAAGTAGAGAATAAAGAAGAGGAGTAAATAGTTGCTCCCCTTTACACTATAAATAATATTTAGTAAAAGTAGTAAAAAGGAGATATAAGTCTAGTCTCTTAAAACATGTTTAGAATATATTAATAATACATTATAGCTAGATACCTATAAATACTAGATTCTTCTTTAATCTAAGGGACTACTAGAGCTTTATAATACCTATAAAAGTAAAAAGAAAAAGTTATATAGTATTAAAGGACCCTATAAAAGTAAATAGTACTTTACTTTTAGTAGATAGAAAAAAAAAGAGAAGAGTAGAGAGTTTATTTTAGTAATTACTACTACCCCTTTAGGTTATATACTATTATATATTATTTATTAGAACCTATTCTTAATATATTCTTAATATGTTCCTACTTATTACTATTATTATCTCCCTCCCCCTCTCTAGTATCTTCTCTATCCTCCCTATCCTCCCTAGGCTCTACAAAAGCATACCACAAGTAGAACTAGGTAGCATTCTAGTAGGAATTAGCAAGGTCTACACTAGTATTAAAGTAATAGTCTTAAAATATATTAGGAATAGGTTAATAATATATTATAAATAACTTACTATAGCTAGGATAATTATAAGTATAGATAGTATAAGGAACCTAATAACCTTAAATCCTTAGTAGGGTAGATATAGTAATAAAGTTAAGCTATAACAAGTTAGTAATATATTTTTAATAGGTTCTTGCAGGCTATACCTTATTACTATTATAGCTAGTATAAGTCTTCTTCTAAATTATATTTAGGAGGGTATTAGTATTTATAGGGGGGCCTATAGTAGCTACTAGCTAGGCTTAGAGAACTTCTATAAAATAAGTTAGTAATAAGTTTTAAATATATTCTAAATAACTTATAGTAAAGAGTATTCTAGTAATTATATATAACCTTTATATAAAAGTCTATATATATTAGTATAACAAGTTAAGAATAGGTTAATAATATATTTACTCTTTACCTTATAGACCTCCTTTATAGAGGGCTAGCTAGTCTTCTTAACCCTACTAACCTTATAGTAGGCTATATTAAGCCTATAATCTTTTTTAGTATAGGTATATAGAGTGCCCCTAGTACCTAGAATAGCCTAAGAATATTAGAACCTATTTAGAATATATTTAGAACCTATTCTTACTTTATATAAGGTGCCCTTATTATTAATCTTAGTATAGTAGTAGCGCTCTCTACTCTCTATCTTAACTACCCTATTAGGGCTAACTATAGGCTATACCCTAATATTATCTAGGATATAGCTAAGGGCAAGGTACTATTAATAGTGCTTCTATAACCTATTAAGAACACGTTCTAAATACGTTTTAATCTACTTATATAGGATATAAGGGATACGTTAGTAATAGATATAGTAGTAGTAGCTTATAGTATTACTAGTATAGAATATATTTAGAATAGGTTTAGAACGCGTTATAAAATCTTATAGCATAATATTTAGTTAACCTTGCTTAGCTAGCTAGTAGAGCTTAGCACGGCCTAACCCTATACTAAATACAAGTTCACGTAGCGCTAATTCTATGGTTATATAAACTGCGCCCTCGCTATAAGAGTAGCTGATATCAACCTCAATCTGTTTCTCAGAAATGGGTAGGTTAGAGGAAATTTGCTTTTCTATGGGAGGCATACCGACCGCTTTAATATCCTGGCAAGGAATCTTGTAAGGTTTCTAGGAGCGGAATAGAAACATCCTTTCAACTAGTTGCTGCCTATATTGCAGTTATTGGCGCGTGTGTGCTGACCCGGCGATGCGGAACTCCGCACAGTTGCGGATTTCACGGGCGACGTCGTCACACGACCAATTCATGGTTACAAAACATCGATTAGATAAGCAAACAAAGTAAATTGTGGTAGATTGAAAGTACATGAAGGATCCAAGGAAAATACTAAGAGTGTCAGGAAAGATCTAGAGGCTCAGTTGCAGTAGTCATTAAGCTTGCTTGACCAAGTCAGCACGATGGGGATGGGAAGAATAAAAGGAGTAGAGAGAAGAGATCGCAGCCTTTATCTACAAGCACATTTCGTGATTGGATCGGGAATTGATAGGTGATGGGTTCAAAGGTTTCGAGGCCCACATATCCCCGCCTTCTCTACCACAAGCTCGTACTGATCACCACCAATGCCGTAGCCATTAAACTTGCTCTTCCAACACGCTTCCTCCTCATCCTTTGTGGAGTTCAGAGTGCGCAGCTTCTCTTCGAGATCTTTCAAGTTTTGCTCCTGCCATTTTTGAGTGAGCAGGTTCTTCGCATTTTTCTCATGGCTGATCTCCAACTGTTGGTCGCGTGCTGCGCGATTGGCCGTGTGGAGCGTGGTGTAAACTTCCGAGCGGATGAGAGGTTGATGAATTCGCATCGGAGAGCAGGGTTGCTCAACGCTTCCCTCCGACTCCGACCCTTCAGAGGGCGTGACGATCTTGAAAAGTCGGAGGACAAATACGGTACTGGATATGAAAGATTTGCGTTTTGGTTCCCATGGAGTTTGATTGGCGAGCTTGGAGACGTAATCACGCTGTACCCAGATTTTGATAAAATGCTCTTGGTACGGATTATCGAAGTGTGCAAAGCTCGCCTTACATATCAAGCAACCGTACTCATCTCGCTTGCTGGTCCAGTCTGCCAAGGTGTCCTGAGTATGCCAGGTACTCTCCTCGCGCATGCGCTGGAATAGCTGCTCGACCTGCTTGTTGGCCTCGTTCAAATCAATGAACGGACGTGATATGACGCCTATCCCCTTCACATCATACTCATCCTGATCATCGGCCCATCTCCGTTCAAATATAGAGTACTCAAAATATGGCTCAGCGTTTGCGGAAGGGATCATCGGCGGGAGCTCGATAACTTGAATCTCACTCACGGAGTGTTGAGTATAACCTTGAAAATTCGTGTCGATGTTGGGAGTCGTGTATAAAGGCTGTGGGGACAATCCTTGTTGCTGATCCGTACTTTTGCCAATCATGATATCAGGGCATACGCTTTTCGGAACTAAATTGTTGTGAAGTTCTACTCGAGGCGTGGATTTGCTGGTAGTGCAATCCTCTGGAGGAGCTGGCAATAGGTCTGAAAAAACTTGCTTATCTTTCGCACTGTTTGCGACTGTAGCCACGGGTATTGCGTCCACATTTTGTACATCGGGTTGCAATGAGGCTTCAATGATTGGGACGGATACTGAATTCGCTGCTGGAGTCCATGATGATGCGATAGGTGCATCAATCACGAGGGAAACTGGTGGTGTTCTATCATTGTCTGGAACTAGTGTCGATACTTGTGCAACCTCCTTGCTGCGATCTGAATTATCAGGGCGACCTACAGACGTAGCGGGCCTAGCAGACCTCTTCTTCGAAACAGCGGAACTCCCATCCAGGTCAGGCACCATTTCTTCAACCTTGCGCTTTTGGCCAGATTGTGGCCCAGGAACAGGAGGTTTCGAAGCTATCTTATGATTTCCCAACTTTGGTTCCGGTTTGTCGCCATGATTCCCATTTTCAAGGGCATGCTCTTGACTTGACCTCCAAATTGAAGACTTATCTTTGCCAGCCACAGACGAGGGGTCATGAGAATGACGCAGTGGTTGCTCTGCGCGCTGCGAGAATGTAATATCAGGTGAAGATGGGAGGGTTGATGGCACTGGAGACATGGTGGTCTCGCCTCTAGACATGAGCTGTTTTGTTTGCGATGGGGGGAGTGAGCTCCCAGTTCGCGTAAGCGGAAGTACAGATTGAAGAGGGTTCCGAGCATCCACTTTGTCGCAAACCTTTGATGAGGCCAGAAGTGTCCCAAAAACGCTGTCTTTTATAGTTCGAGGAGACATCGTAGTACCTACGTTTGGTTTCGTACGTTGGTCCACACCGTTCTGCACTCCATGGGATCGCGATCCAGGAGTTGTTGGCCTAGGTTTTGAAGCTGGAGGCGATGAAGATTTTACATTGCTCGTGGATGATGAGTCAGCTTTCGGTGGCCTTTGAACGAAAGGACTCTTGTGTCGGCCGAGAAGTTTGCTCAAACGGTTCTTATTGAGTTGTTTACCGTTCATAGAGCGTTTTTCCGTCGACGCACTGGGACGTGGTTTCGGCAAATCTACCGTGTGCGAAGTGGATATGGTGGTTGGGGGGTGACAATCTCGCTTATCCTCGACATTGGCTTGCAGGTCTTCTGTGTCACTTTCATCGCTCATAACGAATCCGCCTTTGGTCTTCGGTGCCTTCCTGTTCTTTGGCGCAACGGATTTATGTGTACCTTTTGGCCAAGGAGCCCCTACTTTGTTCTCATTCATGCTGTTAGTACGTTCAAAAGCCCGGTCCTGGCCACCTTCATGCGCTTTCGGCATGGTATTTATCACTGTCAATATTTAGCCTCTATATCTTATAGTATGGCATCATGTATACATACGCGATTGCTTGCCCGAGCCACGCCTAGCTTTAGCACCGCTACTAGTATCGTTCACAGTATACTCGCTGGACTTGTGGGCGCTTCGCGACTGAAGTATGTATACCTGAAGTGGCGTAATGTGATTCTTGTCGGACTGATCTAAGTTGTTGTGCGCGTCTTCATCTTCGCTTGACTCGTAACCGGTCAACTGTCTTAACGACGGGCAGATCCGGTATAGATTTGAGCTTGAGGATACGAGTGGGACTTGCCCTTTGCCTGGCGTGACGGGTACTGGTGAGTGGGCTTTCGGGCTATGATCTGTGGGAAAATCACCGCGCGCCTGTGTTGCCACTTCAGCGGGTGGCGCTTCCATCAAAGTAAGAGAAGCCTTGATAGTGCTCGCTTCGGAGTTACTACTCTCACTGTTTCTCTTCTTAATACTGTTTTGTGGCTGTCTTGTCTTCTTTTGGTTGCTTGTTGTGCCTCTCAGATGCGACCTCTTTCAAGTTGTTAGTAAAGGCAGAACTGATGCAAAGATAAGAGCATACTTTAATACTTCTCAAGACCGGCGGGCCGGAAGGTGAGATTACGTTGGAATCCACACTGTGTGTCAAGTCAACAAGTGTATCCCAGGGCGGAGGCGTGTGGAAGAGCGGACTTTCGCTCCTCCTCCCCGAAGTATTACTTTCGGCGCGTGTGTCCATTTTGCGTCCAATGAAGTGCACTACTCTACTGTAGCAAGTGAAATAAGTGGTCTGAGAGGTGTGTTGTCGGCGCGGGCTGTACATTCAATGAGGTCTCGCGGTGTGTATGGGACCCCAAGCAAACGCATAGTAGCTGATCTGAGCCAATGAAATCTTAAGATTCAGCTACAGATTGAATCTAGCTTGCGGTGATCAGGCGGACATGCCAAACTAGTCAGGGGATGGGGGTGGCTGCTTTGATTGCAAGCGCTGCATAGATCACTTCTAGCTTCTCTTGCTTAACTGCGATGTGGTGTGGTAAGAATGTCTTAGGTACAAACACAATTGTCCAGGACTGTGTTCTTGTCCAAAGCAGGCGCAAGTACTGTAAGTTTGGCAGTACTGTTCCCTTGAGTAACTCAGCTCCATAGAGAACTGAACCGACGGTCAAGATCCAAATATAGAGCAATGAGACTCATTTCTAGAGGCAAAAATACCAGGAGCATCATGTAAGCCTGGCGGATCTTGACGGCCATGTTTTGCTTTGGGCGTGCATCGCCAGTCGGTGTCGGTCAATCTGAGCATGCAACCATTGAACATGAATGTGGGCACTAGGTCATGGTAGATGAATCACATAGAAAAAACTGGAACTGCTCCGTCAACCGTCCATATGATAAACGTGTCGTAGAACACAACGCAGATGAAGTGCAGTTGGCGTTTGAGGTCGATGCGATGCTGAGTCATGTTCCAGTTACCTTAACGTGATCCACCACCGAGCGCCCACCCCCACCGAGCGCCCACTAACACCAAAATCCACCACCCACTAAATAAGGATATTGCGCCACCTATAATAGCTTTTATTATAAGATTTCTTAGAGTTATAATTATTAGATTTATTAGAGTAGATTAAATATTTTAGATTATATAAGTAGCTTTTTAGGGGGTCTAATTAGGCGCCTACGCTATAAAGTTACCTCTACTACTATATCCTCTTCTACTAGCTCCTTATTAACTACCTTAGCTAGTATAATAGTAGGAGGCTTAAGGATTTACCTCTTACCTATTTAGGATATTTTAATATTATTTTAGAGTTACTTTTCTAGTTATTTAGTAGTTTTCTACTTATTATATATAGTAGCTTTTTAGGTAGCTTTTTTTTTTACTCTTTTTTAGTAATTACTTAATTTAAGTAATACTTTTTTATAAGTTAAGCTTTAGTAAGCTTCTATTACTTATAAAGCTTAATTACCTTACTTTTTTAGTATTATAGCTCCTATTCTTTAAGGTTCTTTTACTTCTAAAGCTTAAATACTTACTCTACCTTTAATAGTAAAATAAATTAGGTACTACTACTATAATTATTATTAGTAGGTAATAATAGAGGTTTACTACACTTCCTATACTTCTTCTTATTAGCTAGGGTAGCCCTTAGGTGTTTATTTTTATAGTTAAGTAGAGTATTTCTTACTAATATAATATAGATTATCTAGCTAAGCTTCTTTAACTATTTATTATAGATATTAATTATAGTATTATAGAATAATAACTTTATCTTTCTTTAATTACTTATACTTAATATTAAGGTTATACTATTACTTAAAGAAGGCTAGTTACTATTATTTATAGGTACTTTAAACCTTAAAAGGATAATATTAGAGTTAAGTAGTAAGATACCTATTACTTTAAAAGCTATTAATATTAGCTTTTCCTTAAAGGTATTACTCTATATAGTATTAAATAACTAGTAGAAATCCCTCTTAGTAATACTTATAAGCCCTTAGGAGCTATCTAGAAAACTAGATAGTTAAGCTTTATATAAAGCTATAAAGGGAGTAAATACTATAATATTAAGTAGCTAAAGGGTATAAGTGCTATAAGGGGGATATATTATAAGTAGGATCTTATATTTATTATAGTACTTAATAAACTCTATTATTATATAAGATCTATAGCTATTAAGGATAAGAAGCTAGTATAAAGTATAAGCTTTAGCTTTTATCTTATAATTAAACACCTCCTTAAGCTAGGATACCCCTAGGGTATAGCTTATCTACCTACTTAGTAATCTTATAAAAAAAGCTTAGTATTATAATAGGTTAAAATCTTATAACTAGGTATCTTATAGAGCTCTAGATTAGGACTAATAAATAAGGGTAGGAGTAAAAGTAGTACTATTAGCGTATATATAAGCTATAGTAGTAATCTACTCCTTATTACTATCCTAGAGTATAGCTCTAATCTTTTTCTACTTATAGGCACTTTTATTAAATATATATTTAGTTTTTAATAGTACTTTAATAAGAAAACCCTTTTTATCTATATTATAGATATACTAACTTTTAATATTATATTACTTTATTTTTTAGTATAAAAGCTTAAAGTATAAGCTATACTTAAAGGTAGAATTAGCTTTAAAGTAGTTATAATTAAGCCTAGTAGCCTAATAGGAGATAAAATTAATATTATAGTAGTTAATAAAGTACTATACCTAATTTTTACTTACTAGATTCCTTATTATTTTAGTTATAAAATTTTAAATAATAGTTTATATAAGGGGTAATCCTTACTTATAAAGCTCTTTAATATACTTTATAAGCTTACTTTCTTATATAGTATTAAGTATTTAACTATTTAGTAAAGTAGTAGTATATACTTACTAAATTTTCTAGTAGTATCTAGATAAGGTTAACTATAAGTAACTATACTTTTTTACTATTTCTAAGTATATAAAATCTTCTCTAAGAGTTAAGAATTTAATTACTATAAGCGCGTTATTAATAGGTGCTATAGTTATTAAGAAATTTAGTGTTAAAAATTTAGTGATTTTAGTGTTAGTGGGCGCTCGGTGGGGGTGGGCGCTCGGTGGTGGATCACGTTATCGATCTTAGCGTCAGACCCACCCTTTTTTGCAATTGATGCGAAACCTCGGGCTTCGCGGTCTGTGACTGCTCGAACACATCAGCCACGACGAAATATGCAGGCAAAGCTTGAACATGGACTGGGCGTACCAGTACCAGAGAAGAAACTGCGGGAAATTGCCAGAAATGTGGGCAATGTCTTGGGAAAGTTGGACTCTATGGACGATGTGAAGTAGGTAAGGATGCAGAGTCCGTGAGGCTTGAATTAGAAAAAAAATTGGACGCCACTGACAATGCCATAGAAATCTGCACAGTGTTACTGATCCTGTGCTCGAGACTGCAGATATACCGGACCTGGAATCTGGGCACCGCGCTGCTGCATCTAATGCGCTATGTGCTATCATCGACCATTGTCGAAATCACGGTTCTGAAAACGTGCTAAGTGCGATACTAGAAGACTCGATCTGGCTGAGAATTTTTCAAATCTATCTCCACAGATCTGGTGAAGCGAAAGGAAAATCTATGAGACAGATTCTTGTGACGTTGACAAATGTCATCACGCAAGATCAAAGTCCAAGTGCTTTGGCGCTGCGCGAGCAAGCTGCCAGTACATTTCTGGACATCATCTGTGAACGACAAGATCGATTCAAAGTGAAGCCAGCTTTGCAAGGACTTGCCCACTTGTTACTCAAGAATACCATCTCTATCGCACAGCTAGTCCAAATATACGAGAAACAGGCTGCCGCGCTGTCGCAAGGACCTGTAGCATCCACTAGTCCACAGACGCTCTTCAAGATCTTCCTAGGATGGATCGTACATCATGAGACCGCACTATCTGCGGGTCATTTGATTAGGAATTTCCTTATTGAAGCTCGGCAATTGCCGGACTATAACGTGGATATAAATAACGGCAGTACGGTGCCCCTATGGATTTCACCCGTGCTCGAAACGCTCCAAGATTGGCCAGACCGTATACTCGAATTCAAGACACATGTGTTTCCCCACTGCTTTCTACCAAATATCGAAGAGTATCTGCGCTTCCTCTCCGTTCTGGATTTTGTGACACACGTCCAACCACTGGGCACAATCCCTGAGTCACTACACAATCTCAACTGGAGTCAGTATAACCTTAGCAAGGCAGAAAAATTCAGGTTATTACTTGCTGCATTCGAGAGTGGAACGGAACTGTCTATCCTTCGTGTTTTCGGTGAGTATATGCATCATCGATCCGTTCAGCTCCGAGCTCCTTCCTGACTAAACGAGCAGATCAAAGAACATCTGCCAGTATACAAGTTCGTAATGGAGCGTTATTTCTTCCAGACAATATATTCGGTGCTTGGATGTCACATGCCGAGCCTGAAGTCAGACTCGCTGGCATGTTCCTCTCAATATATTCTGTTTCAGTCACAAAACCTCTGAACTATGGCGCCCTCAAGGCGCTGAGGCAGAATCTGGTACATCTTCATACCGAAACCGACCCGTACTTTCGCCGGGAGGTACTTGGTAACACACAAAGGCTTTTTGATAGGCTCCGAGCTTGCACAGCTACAAATGCAAGAGCTAAGTGTAAACAAGTTGCAAATAGTCAACACCGAATATCAGTGCCAAGAATTTGTCGCGACCAAGAATCCTCATTCCGCAAACAATTGTACCAGAATGTTGATCTGGGCCCAGTCACTTTCTTGACTTGGTACTTGGGGTTCTTGGAACGCGAATTACGTCCAACTGCAACATACCAGAGGAGGATAACCGCATTGCGAGCACTCACGATTGTCTTGCGTTCCGGCCTTGATCCCGGAGTACCTCAATCTGATCTCTCAAAGTCTGCTCAAGGACAGTTGAATTGGGCTCATGGTGTTCAAATTGCGAATGTCAGACTGGTACGAGTCCTGCTAGACCTGGTCCTTGACGCGTTCGACGACGTGCGCGACACAGCTGTCTTGGTGTTGAAACTTTGCCTTTCAGCTCTGCCACAAGATGAACAGCATGAGGTACTTGCCATCTTGCCGGTGTTTCTGCATCGAGCCGAGTCTCTTATGCTTCGCACAGGGCGTGCTGATCAAGCAGATGGCATCGCTCGGGCTTATAGTCTGATCTTTACCCTTGCAAACAACTATTTCGAAACTTCAGGTCACACGCAATTCTCAAGCAAACTCAAGTTGTTTGAGCACTTGAAGTCACAACTCCACGAAACACTAGAACTTGCTAAGACCAATCTCTCCGAGGCTGTCAACCATAGGCCTGTACATGGAACATTTGCGGCACTCACATACATTGTCGATCAACCTGGCTTCTATGAGAACATATCGAGCGAACCACAGCAATCAATCGTACAATGGGTAAAGTCCCATTGTGCTATTGTGAATAATGTAGAGTCGCTATGGTTGTGCGTCCACCACGTGCTTTGCGCAGATGCACCCGAAGGCCATGTTCCGGACGAGATTGAAGAAGAGGCTAGCTTGGATACTAAGGAAATACTCAGTTATTCATGGCGTGGACTCAAAGAAGCCAGGTACGTTCGAAGTGCTGTTACGACTCTGGTCGCTCACAAAAATAGTACTCTTCTTGGAACTGTTGTGACCAAAGCTCCGATTGGTCATGGCGATCGCGATTTCTTAACGCCCGAGTCGTTCGAGCAGTTGGGCCGGCTCTGTTTCACTCAACTTCTAGAACTTCGTCATCGCGGGGCATTCTCTACAGTTTCCCAGACCTTTGCAGCCTTCTGTAGACGCTGCGTAACATCGAGAATCCCAGAACTACAAGCATTGCCAGAGGCTTGGTATCAGGTAGGTGGCTCCTAGACGATCACGATGTCTATGACTGACAAACGCAGGAAACACTTCGCTCTATCCAAGTCAAGGCAGATGCTATCACCCGAAGATCTGCAGGCATTCCCGCCCTCATGACCGCATTGCTTGCCGCAGAAGCGCAGCCTTCTGGGAGCTTATTCCCTCGTGCTATGCAAGATCTCGTTGCGGAGACTTTGGTAGAAGCGAAAAGCGCTAATATTGAGGATAGTCGACTACCTCAAGTTCATGCACTCAACTGTATCAAGGAAATTTTCACAACATCCAAATTAAGCGTAGCATCGGAAGCATACATCGGAAAGGGTCTTGAATTGGCCGCCAGAATGCTGAACTCTGATATGTAAGTTATCTCTAGATGCGAATTGAGGAATGCCATCTTACTTGCAATATAGATGGCCCATTCGCAATTGTAGTCTCATGCTTTTCAAAGCACTAATCGAGAGACTTTTGGGTAGCGACGAAGCACAAGATTGGAAGGAGCGCGATCGGACGAAGACGTCTCGCTTTTCTTATGACTTTTTCCCTGCCTTACCGAAGATGCTCTCGGATCTGCTCGATCACAATGGTCCACTGAAGCAATCGATGGCTGGTACGTTGGACAGTAACTCACCATTCGATCTCCACGGCGCCGAGGGTGTTTTCCCCGCGCTTCAGATCTTGCGTCAAGCGAGACCACCCCAAGAGCACCTAGATGTCATTCAAAACGCGGTGACAGAGTTACTCTCAAGTCCGCATTGGCATTTACGAGATATGGCCGCACGTACCGTTGTTTCGATGCGAGCAACAAGCCAACTCTATGCCGTGAAGATTTCTTTGTTGTCAACACTGCCTATATCTACGAACCGACAACATGGTGTGCTCTTGGCCGTCAAATATATGTACATCAAGCTTTTGAAAAACTCGTCTGACTTCTGTAAGTCCTCTAGGCATTTCACAGGCAAAGTCACTGAGATACTAACGTCCCGTAGCAACTGAAAAGCTCGGTACTCTGATGGAGAATTTGGGCACTTATGCCAACGACTGGTATACCACAAGCGACTGCCCATTGATTCGGTCAGCATTCCTTGACATCGTTTCCGTTTGTGGTATTAATATGTTGCGCCGGCCGGATGCTCTTTCAATACTGCCTGCCTGGCAGCAACTCACCGCATCTATATGTATAGGACCGGCGTATGCTCTCCGTGTTAGCCACCGTCCCGGCAACGCTCTACTTCAGACGTCTTTGGCGCAGATATTTTTTATCGATCGAGTTATTATGCGTGATGACGCCTTAGACAGCTCAGTATCCGAGGACTATCAGGGTATCGATGAAGCACTCTTGATGCTTGTCGCAGATGACGCAGACACGTGCTGCGCAGCGCTAGAAACGCTTGAAACTGTCATCAGGCTCGAGGCCACCAACGGACTCACCATCCCTCTCGTGCTTGTCCTGACTGCTATACATAAAGTCATTCTCAACGCTGCCGACCCCGAGGTCATTGCAAAAGCGCAGGCAGTGCTTGCATCCGCTCTTCAAGATGACTACCTTCGTTTGGACTTCTTCAGATCTATCACCACACATCCGACCATCCTCACCCTCGAGAAACTGGAAACACAGTGCCTCAAGGAGCCACCGTCAAATAAGCAAAGTGCACTACGTCTTCTCGGCTTCTTCCTAGACTTCGCGTACTACAACCTATCTGGCCAGCGACGCATAATCCTGCTCGCTATCTCACGATACATTCGCCTCCTCCGCATAACCATCATCGACACCAACCCCTTCGATACTCGCTTCGCTGCCGCGCAATCCCTCGCCGCACTATCACACATCTACACAGCCACCCCTACATCTACAGCCATGGGACCCCTCATCCTTGCCCTAAGCCTACTCCTCTACGACCTCCTCTCAGACGACGACGATGAGATCCGCGACCTAACTGCCAACACCACAAACAGCTTCCTCCGCTCCCAACGCATTCATAACCTCTCCCACCGCAAACCCCTCCAAAATACACCCCCCTTACTAACCGCATCTCGCCTTGCCCACTATCTTTCCACCACCTTCCCCTCCTCCCCTTCCTCAGCAAACCTCCTCTCCACCGCCCTTCGGCGTCTCACAGACACCGCCCCCTACCCAACCCCCCTTTTCACAACCCCCTTCTCCATCACCCTCGCTCAAAACCGTAAACAAGACTCGGCCCTCTTCGCAACAGAGAAACAAAATCTCTACTACGACCCCACCCTCGACATACCAATATGGACTTATATCCTCAAATCCTGCACTGCGGTACCCCGCGGCGCAAGCGCACATCTCGCTGCGTGGGTGCTGTCTGGTCTTGAGGTGTTGACGGGCACGGCGGAGAGGGAGCACGACGGCGCGTTGGGGTGGGTGAGCAAGGGTGAAGTTTTTGCGCTGGTGGGGCGGGTGCTTGGGGGCGCGGAGGTGGTGTTAGGGTGGAGAGGGGTGGAGAGGGAGCAGGTTTTGGTTGGGTTGGTGCGGTTTGCGGAAACGGGGAGACGGAGGGGTGTTCATGGGTTGGTTGTGCAGAAGGTGGAAGGGATTTTGGAGAGGGATGTCTTGGGGAGTTTGAGGAGGGTGAGGGGTGGGTTGGTGGGAGTTTAAGGAGGGTGTGAATGGGAAGAGGTAGTGTGTGTGATGGGAGGTGGGATAGATAGTGTATAATTTCTAGATAGAAAAGCATTCTGATTTGCGTTTTTTTGGATGATCACTTTATTATTATAGCAATGGCATGACAACATGTACAGTATCAGCGCATCGCGATCCTCAGCCGTCCATCCAAGATAAAATCGCCACATTAGTTCAGAGATCCACAGACCCTTAATCCTATCTAAGAAACAACTGCTTCAACTCACTCTGCTCAAATTGCCTACTAACAGACCCATACTTGGCCTGCCACGCGAAGAAGTAGCAAAGCGCCGCAAGCGGTTGCCCCACGAGACAAAAGCTCATCCAAAAGATCATGTTGCCCACGACCTGCCCCCTCGCCCACCGCCATCGCTGTATCTGGTCCGTTATAGCAATGAGCGGAATCTGCGCCATCATGCCGAGGAAGGCTACGCCGATGATGTTATGCGTTGGTACACCAACGAGGAGTTCGTGTAGGATGCCTGAGAAAAGGAAGACCAGAATCTGTGCGACGGCGGGGTTCCAGCCACGGCCTACAAGAGGCGAGTAGATGTGGCGACGCATGAAGTTTGTGACTGGCTTGTTCCATGTGGTCCAGTAGTTGCGCACATTGCTGACGTTCCACCAGTCGCCGTAAAAATCTCGGTCGCCAAAGGTCATTACTTCAGCGAGCGCATTGAGAGAAGATTGGAAGAGTGCGAAAAATCCACAGAGCCAGCAAAAGACGGAGATTGTGCTGAGTTTCATAATGCGCTCGGCTATAGAGGTGAGGTTTAGCTCGAGGATCTTGTTGATGCTGTTTTGGAGCAGGGGCGCGGCATATTGGGCGGATGCGATCCAGATTACGATGCTCAGGCCTACGACTTCGAGTAGTCGTTTGACAACGAAAGTCCAGCGGATGCGGTCGGTGCGCGGGTAGACGGGCTGGTAGACCAGAGTCGGTGCCCACCAGAAGTAGCAGAGATTCTTCATGTTGATGTTCTGCGGGTACGGGCACGTCTTATAGAGTTCTGGCAGCGGTTCGGCTTGCTTGGGGTGCAAATACGCATGTCGAAGGTCGCGGTTTGTGAGCGCGTAGGACATGCACTTGAGGAAGACGATGACCGCATGGAACTCGCAGAGCGTCCCGATGCCTGGGTGGTGGATGTTGTAGTATACCATCTTTGTAGCGATGAAGAGGTTTGCGACGGCATTGACGCTGTGAAAGAATGCCACAACGTGCCACGAGGTATTGAAGCTCTTGAGCGCGGCCGCATAGTCTGCTGGGATGTCGCTGTCCTTGTTCTTGGATATGCGACCGTACGCCTTCTTTGCTTGCTGGGCAGCGACATATTCGATCAAGTATGTAACGAAGAGGTGGGCAGGGACGAGCAGGTAGAGCGCGAGACCGGTAATGACGTCGGACCTTCGGTAGTCATGACAGCTAAGGCATATTAGGACGCCATACTACGTATATTGATTAGTAGGGGATATTTGTCTTTAAGCTTATTCTTTCTTACCTTTTTGAAGTTCACTATCATGAGTCGCAGGTTGGACACGACTGTTGAGGTTAGGGTGATGCGCATCTGTGCAGAAAGCGAGGATGCATACTGAGGACCAGGATCATGAGGTTTCTGAAGCCGACGAAATTGGTCGGAGACTCTCCCCCATCTTGTGTTAGAGGCGATGGACGTGATGATGAATGTGTTGCAAAGACATGGCGATATTTCATATCGCGACCACTCTTTCTGTTGCGGCCATTGGAATGGTCTCTGCCTCCTCGTTGAGGTTGAGGCTCCATGTTAGCGATAGGGCGGCCCTCTTGCGGACTATCAATAGCGGATGTGGACGTCATTGCGGTCATTGTCGCCATAGTCGAACTTGGTGGTGGTGGTAAAAAGGGCCCCCGATGTTCCTGCCCAAAGTCCAATGGCTCTTGCCAACCTCTTGGTTGAAGAGATCCCACTTGGAGAGCGGTGGAATTGAAGAATTGTGGAATTGTTTCAGGAATGAGGCTCGAAAACGGCGATTGGGGGGGGCACGGAAGCAGCTTCTGGCCCAGCCGCGGAACACGAAGGCGTGAGTGAACAAGTGCAAGCGTGCCATGGCTGCAGGACCCGGCAACGATCGGGTTGCACGGATAAGATGGGAAGATGGTTTTCCTTCAACGTTCTGTTGAATCGCCTCGTCGGCGGGGATATGCAAGTGGGCAGACAGACAGGGCAGGCTTGCGTCGAGTTTGCATGTGAACCATTGGGCCAAGTGTGGCGTTCTGGCGCAGCTGTGATCTGTGGCTGATCCAGGGTAAGTTACAGTACAAGTGGGTCGAGGCTGACCAAGGTAAATTACGACACATCTGTGGGTCCAAGCTCGCGGAGCTTCGCGACTCGCGACAAAGCCAACGTTCAACGACCCAATGGATCAAGTTGAGACGCGCCAAACGACTAGAGTCAGCGTCAAAAGGAACGACTTCATTCACCCCTTTTATGCGACTATCGTGATTGACGCGACTTGCAACTGCAGTCGTCATGGAGCGCGAGTACCACCGGCCGGACTTTGAGGGTGGGTTGCGGCCTCGACCAAAGCGTAAGTATACAATGCGTTGTTAGCAATATGTATATCTCATTTGGTGTTATGGACGAGATGTATGTAGTAGTGCATGAGAATAGCTACTACAATATCTTCCAAACTTTTGTCTCTTCCCATATGCCTTTCCACCATCAAAGAACCAGGCTGATACAACCGTCCATACAGGAGCCGTGACGGATTATGGCGCAACAACAGTACAGTGGTTGCGCAACCGGCGTCCACGATACAAGAACCTACCCATGCGAGAGGTGGAGCGCCCAAGTGCCAGCTACATCGTGGACATGCAACCGCCCGCCGCCCGACTCGCCAGCGCCGCCGAATCCATACCAGCCAAAGCCGTCCACTCGTCGCTAAACAAAGTCAAACACCCCATCAATGTCGTCAAGTGGACACCCGAGGGCCGCCGCCTGCTTACCGGATCGACGAGTGGTGAATTCACGCTATGGAACGGCATGGGCTTCAATTTCGAAACCATCATGCAGGCGCACGAAGCTGCTATAAGAGCCGTCGAATACACATCCACCGACGACTGGCTTCTCTCCGCAGATCAGACAGGTGTCGTCAAGTACTGGCAAACAAATTTCAACAACGTCAAGGAAATTCAAGCACATACCGAAGCCGTGCGAGGTCTCTCCATCGCACCGACCGACTCCAAGTTCGTAACATGCGCCGACGATACCACATTGAAGATTTGGGACTTTGCCTCAAGTACCGAGGAGTCAACGCTCACGGGACATGGTTGGGAAGTAAAGTCGGTAGACTGGCATCCACACAAGGGACTGCTAGTCTCTGGCTCAAAGGATCATACGGTCAAGTTCTGGGACCCACGAACAGGCCGTTGTCTTACAACACTTCATGGACATAAAAACCCAATATCAAAAACCATGTTTGAGCCCGTTCAAGGAAACATGCTAGCAACATGCGCCCGTGACCATACCGCCCGCATCTTTGATCTTCGAATGATGCGCGACGTCCTACTGCTAAAGGGGCACGAAAAAGACATCATTACCATGGCCTGGCACCCCATGCACAAAAACCTGTTATCTACCGGTGGCGTGGACGGCAGTATACATCACTATCTACTCGACGAGCAAAATCCTCCCCCGGGAGTAGCACCCTCAATATCACCCTACGATGCTGCTGACCCGCAAAACGCTCCTGCGCAGACGATATACCCTGCGCATAGTTTGCAATACGCCCACGACTTTACCGTTTGGACAATGGATTGGCACCCACTTGGTCACATTCTAGCATCTGGCTCCAATGACCGTGTAACCCGCTTTTGGACACGCCCCCGGCCAGGAGACACAAACTATATCAACGACCGGTACCACATTGGCCAAGCCGCTGCCGAAGCCCAAGGCACATACGACCGGGGCCAAAACCGCCGCCAAAAACAAGAGGAAGAGGAGCAAGAAGCCGAAGACGAAGCAGAGGGGCTTGTCGACCAGAAACTTCCGTCTCGATCAGGTGGCCTACCTTTTCTACCACCAGGTCTCTCGCTCCCCGGTCTCAACGCCGCACCGGATGGAACATCCAGCTCCCTTCCTGGCATCGGCGGTTCCTCACATCCTCATCTTCCCCCACCACCGCCATCTGGTCTCCCCTTTCCTCCACCACAACCCGGTGCACCAGGTGCCCCTCCCCTCCCTTTCACAGGCATGGACCCCTCCCGCCTCGCACAACTCATTTCCTCTGGCGCCTTGCCCCCGCCCCCCATGCCTCCAGGTGCAGGTGCACCTGTGCCCAACAACAACACCAACAACAACGGCCCTCCCCCGCCCTTCCCGCCACCAAACTTCGCTTTCCCAACAGGCATGGGTGTCCCGCCTGGTATGCCGCCTCTACCGCCCGGTATGCCCCCGCCACCACATGGATTTCCTGGATTCCCGCCTCCACCGGGCGGTATGGCGGGGCCGCCGCCGGGCTGGGTTCCGCCGCAGATGGGACAGCAGTCTGCGCAGCAGCAGGGCGTGGGTGCTGCGGCGGGTGGGGATCAGGCTGGGATTCGGAAAAGAGCGCCGTTGCCGGATCAGCAGGACGCGCTGAAGATGGAGATGACGCAGGGACGGTATCGGAAGGCGAGGTAGGGACTTTGGTTTTGGGGGTTTGTCGGGTTTTGGACATGATGAGTGCGGGAGTGCAAGATTGAGGGGGGTGGACGTGGGAAATAGGAGCTGGAGAGAGGTCAAGGGGGTGTAGTGTTTGTTGGGGTGGCGATGTAGAGCATTGTAGGATTATGCGATGGTATACCCCTTTGTGAAACTGATGTAAGATTGCGCATGTGCTTGGCCGATGGTAATTACGTCTACGCCTTGTGTACTTTCCATTTCCCATCCTCACAAAACACCACGCATCATTCCAACCTCAACACCGCACCCTCCTCAACCCCCTTGACACACTCCACCCTCGCCACGCCCTCCCAGTCCATCTTCCCCTCCCCAACCTCCTCCCCAATCCTAAACACCTCATCAATAAACGCCGGCACAAACGACCCCGGCCCACGCACATCCTCCCTCGCCGCCGCCCTCTGCGCCGCAACCTCGAAATGCAACAAGCCTGCCACCCCCGCCAACAACTTGTCCTTCGGATACGCTGCCAGATAGGCCGAAAGCGTGGTGCCGAGCGTACACCCACTGCCCGTAACCAGCCCAAGATATGCATGTCCGTTACTGATACTGTACGTGCGATCGCCATCGCTAATCACATCCACAGCGCCCGTCATGAGCACGACATTGCGTTCGCGCCGCGCAAGCATGGACACGACGTGAGCTTTTTCCCGGAGGGAGAAGAGCGGAGCACCACTGTCCACGCCGCGCTGGACCCGCGACGTCTCGTCGGCGTCGGTGACGGCGAAGCCCGTGGCCCGCGCAACTTGCAGGATCTCGCGCTCGTTGCCTTTGATCAGGTCGAAGTAGCCGGCGGCTAGGAGGTGGGAGACTGCGGTGCGGCGGACGTGGGTTGCGGCGGCGCCGACGGGGTCGAAGATGATGGGGCGGCCGGCGGCGTTGTAGGCGCGTATGGCTTGGGTGTAGTTTGCTAGGCCGTCGGGGTTGACGCTGCCCATGTTGATGACAAGGGCGGCGGCGGTGCCGGGGAGGTTGGCGAGGTCTGTGGCTTCGGGTCCGTAATTTGCCATAATGGGGCTTGCGCCGAGGGCGAGGGCGATGTTGGCGGCGAAGTTTTGGACGACGAGGTTGGTCATGTTGTGTGTCAGGGGGGTTTTAGATTTTACGGCTTTGGTGGCGGCGAGGGCGGTGCGGAGGACGTGGGTGATTTCTTCGGTGTCGTTTTCGAGCCAGAAGGTGGGTAGGGCGGAGGGGGATTTGAAGGGGGGAGGGGGGGAGTGGACGAGGTTGAGGAGGGTTTGGGAGGAGGATTTTGGGTCTGGAGAAGCGATGATGGCGGATACGACGGCGACGCCATCGATTGTTTTCGGGGAGCGATTTGAAGGTGTTGGGGCGAAGAGTTGGTGGATGATCAAGGGGATGTTGGTTGCGTTTACACCGCCTATACAGACTGTTTTGATCTTCTTGGATGCTTCGTCTGCCGTGTCGAGGTATCGTAAGATACCTCTGATGCCATTGATGCCGATGATGTCTTTGGTATTCTTCTTGGTCTGAGTAGCGTAGAGTGTTCCAATACCCAAGTAGTCTGCGCCTTGCTCGACAGCTATGCGGGCTTCTTCGACTGAGGACACTGTCGCTCCAATGATCTTGTCGGGGCCAAGGAGTTGGCGAGCTGAGGAGACGGACATGTCATCCTGGCCGATGTGTACGCCTTCACAGCCTACGGCCAGGGCGACGTCGACACGGTCGTTGACTAGGAGAGGGATGTTGTGGGCTTTGCATTTCTCATGGATAGCTCTGGCTGTGGATATGAGTGCTCCTGTATCGGACGTTTTGTCGCGATATTGCACGAGTGTGACGCCTGGGAGGGTCAGCTTATGTTTCTAGACAGCGAGTCGGTTTCATGATTAGCAGTAGAGCTCGGAATCATTTGCAGCGATTGATGCATCGGGATTAACATCCTAACGAGATAGGAATATATGGCCAAAGACCAATATGTTGAATAGAATGAATAGAAGCTGAGTGCAAATGCAGCGTTAAAGAATGTAAAAGTATTCGGTAATACTAGCAAAACTTACCTCCCAGCAAAGCCTGTTCCACCACATGGACCAAATCTCTATCCCCTAATATTGGTTTTGTAGAATCCGTCACAAGATACAAGGAGTAGTCGGCCTTGTCCTTCATCATTGCGACTGGTCCAGATGCACGTGTGGGTGGATATCTAGTCGCACTGTCATGCTGGAGGGGTTCATGAAGAGTCGATTGCGGGGCGCAAGGATGGCGTTCGCTACGAAGACTGCCTATTTTAGCGTATCCGAAGTGTGTTGCGCAATCAGAGTCGGGTGAAAATTGAACATGGGACGAATTGAAGGTGTTGCAGTGTAGTTCACTCGTCTGTGAAGTCATGACTGGACCCTGGAGTCCCCTAAGGTTTGTACATTCTTGGTGGTGGTGGTCATGTCAACGTGTCACTGCTCAGCAAATGAGTTTCATGCCAATGAATCAGCCCACCCACGACACGTTTCTGCACTGTTGACTGCAGGCTAAGAGTCGGTACGAGTAGACACATGGTTTGCGCCGATGAGGCTCGGTGATTGCTGTCGTTCAGACTGGACGCGCAAACGTGGCCGGACCGATGGCCAGGCAGTGACAAGTGACAGTGACACAGTGGTCTAGGTAGGATGCACCGACGATGTATTCTGTGAAATATCAATCGCCTTTATATTGTGTACACCTGTCTCAGTGCAGGCCAGGCAGGCTTGTTTGTATGTTTGAATGGACTGCAAGAGGCCGTTGGTTGTGTCAGGCATGACTACTGTGTATGTGGTATGTGGTATGTGGTGTGTGGTATGTGGTATGTGTGTGTGTGTGTGTGTGTGTAGAGTCTGTAGTGGCTCGGCAAGGATTGAAAACTAAAACTCTGGCCGCGTCTCCACATAACGTCCCCTCCACCTCGCCAGTCAACTCTCTCTCTCTCTCTCTCTCCCTCACACACACACACTCTGAACTCGCACACAACGCAAACCCATCACATCGTCCCAGCTCCCTTCCTCTTCAACCCCCTCCCCCCCCCCCCCAGCGACCGTTCTCCGGCCTCTGCACCCCAAAGCGCCCATCCACACGCGCAAACATCTGCCTGCGTCGCCCCTCCGCGACCTTCGCCAAACAACCCGCCACCTTTGCCTAGAGGCCGCTCGCACAAACCGCACCTCGGAACCAGCAACAACAACTGCGGTATATGTATTCGCGCCAAACTTACGCCTTCCGAGTCGAACCTCCCCCCAAACTGCAAAAATTTCGCTGTACGCGGATACCTAGCAGTACCATCCACCAGACCAACGGCTAGTTCACTGTCCTCCCTGACCCAGAAAACCCAAACTACCCCACCCATCGCCACCTAAGACTGCATCTACTGCATGTCTTTGATATCTCTCGTCGACTTTTACGACCCCAGCTTGCTCGCCCATCCGCTGCATCAGAACTGCTAAGAAGCCCACCACCACGTTCACTATCGAACCCCCCGCCTCCTTCCCTCCACCACCGTCACCATGGCTACCGTCAACATTCGTCGCGATGTCACCGACCCTTTCTACCGCTACAAGATGGAGCGCATCCAGTCCAAGATTGAGGGCAAGGGCAACGGCATCAAGACCGTCATTGTCAACTTGAGCAGCGTCGCCCAGTCGCTGGCCCGCCCTCCCGCTCACGTCATCAAATACTTTGGCTTTGAACTCGGCGCCCAGACCAACACTAATCCCAATGACGACCGTTGGATCATCAATGGCGCCCACGACGCTAGCAAGCTTCAGGACTACCTCGACGGCTTCATTACCAAGTTTGTCCTCTGCAAGAAGTGCAAGAATCCCGAGACCGACGTGCACATCAAGGATGGCCACATCACCCTTGACTGCAAGGCTTGTGGTAAGATCTCGGATGTCGACGCCCGCCTCAAGCTCAGCTCCTTCATCCTGAAGAACGAGCCGAAGAAGGGCAAAAAGGACAAGTCCAACAAGAAAGCCGAGCGTCGCGCCCGCAAGGAGGCTGAGGCGAGGGGAGAGGCCGGCTCACCCGACGGTGGAAGCCCTGGCGACAGCGCCGAAGATGGCGACGAGGGTGACTTGGCACTCGAGGCTGGTAGCGACGATGAGTTTACACGCCAGATCCAGGAGGGTGCTGAGGGCATCGATGTGGAAGAGGCCAAGGAGGTCGTGTGGCACCTCGACACATCTGAGGAGGCTGCCAGGGCCCGTGCCCAGGACCTTCCCGACGATCTCAAGCGTGCCCTTGTCATTGAGGGCGAGGACGATGGTGAAGAGGGCTCCAGCTACGACGTCTTTGGCAAATGGATCATTGACACTGCTCTCGAAAAGGGCAGCGTTGACAAGCTGGACAATGTCGAAATCTACATCAAGGCCAAGGAGCTGGGCATCGAGTCGAAGCATCGCACGTTGACTGTCATCCCCCAGACTCTCTTCACCGAGAAGATTGTCTCGCAGATTGAGGGCCGTGCTCCTATGCTCAAGAAGATGATCACTTCTGAGAAGCATGAGAAGGCCTTTTTGGGTGGCACCGAGCGCTTCATCGGTAATGATAAGCCTGAGCTCATCCCTCAGATCTCCGCCATCCTGTTCAAGTACTACGAGAACGATCTGATTACCGAGGAAGTCCTCAAGATATGGTGCGCCAAGGCCAGCAAGAAGTACGTCGACTTGAAGGTCAGCAAGAACGTGCGCAAGTCTGCCGAGAAGTTCAAGGAGTGGCTTGAGAATGCGGACAGCGACGAGGAGGACTCTGAGTAGGCTGTGAAGAAGAGCCCATTAGCAACGAACAAAAGCAAAGGGGTTGGTCGACAGTCTAGTGGGCAGCCTTTTTTTAAGTTTCCGTGGTCGCCTAGATTCCTTCTATTTGCTTTTTTTTTCTTTGCTCGGCTGGCGAGTGTGGTGACTATCAGCCCGCCATCGAGCGTGTTGGACTTGTCTTGCATCTGTATCTTTCCCTCTCTACTCTCTCTACCTAGCCAATCTTCAATCCAAAAAAAACTTTGCTTTTGCAATAAATGCTCCGCTTCTAGGGCCGCGTGCGTTGCCCTGCGCCCCACTCGTTGTCTAACCTTACATCCAGCGTTCCCACTTACCTGGTCGTTGGGCCTGGACTTGTATCTTGACATTTGGCGCATGGCTCTGGCGCAGTCAGGTGGTGGGAAGACGATGCGATAGTGGTGGGGATTTTATGAAATGCCTGATTTTCTGCCAACTGCATTGAATTCAAATAGGACCTGCCGTATCATATCATCTAGTCCATCCCTCTTCTCCCCATCGCCAACCTGACCCCTACTTACTCACATCCATCACCTCACTCCCTCCCCAGCCCTCCAGCCCTCCTCCACGCCCCCAAAAAAGCAAAAACTCCATGTCCGCACTCGGATCTCGCCTAAGATTAAGCCCCAACACCATCAACCCCGCCCTTGCCCCTTCACGGCAACGCGTCGGAGACTAGGCCCAGCGCCGGTGGAGATCGACAAGGCCTTTTTTTTCTTTTCCATCGTCTTGGGGTTTTTTGGCCGGGTGTGCTGGGTGTGCTGGGTGTGGCTATTTGGGTGTGGGTATGGGTATGGTGATGGTGGGGAGAAGGGCTGGGCTGGGCTGGGCTGGATTGGTGTCGAACGCGTGCTGTGGCTTTTTCGTATGCTTGAGGAGGGCGCGGGGATTGGGGATTGGGATCTAGATGTGTGCATGTGCATGTGTGGTTAGAGTAGGGATACCATATACCATCGTACTCTACCTATAAGATACAACGGCACAGTCGCCGCACGCTTCCCGCATACCGGTACACGGTGGCGGGAAACGCGGTGCACTTTTTTTTTTTGGCCGGGATTGCTTTGGGTTGAATACATATTTTACTCTTCTTCTTCTTCTTCTTCTCTTCGGCTTTGGAGTCGATCGTACCTGCACAAACGACAGCGCAATACGTTGATCTATTGTCCGTGAGCGACTTTGGAGTTTTGCGCTCACGCCTGCAAGCGAAAAACTGCCGGTTGGTTGGGGTGATAGTGAGGGATTTGGGCACGGCTTTGGCTACGGGACGGGGAGAGCAAAAGAGATAGAGAGGAAGAGGAGACACGGGGTGTTAAGCTGGGTGTTATTTAGACGGGGGTAATACCTATCGTCGTTGTATTGTGTTGCAACTTGCGCATTCGGTGCTTTGCTGGCTGGCTGTAGTTAACTATTCCTTTCCCGCCCTCTAAAAACCTTGGAGATAGCGACAACGAGAATACCGACTCAACGCCGGAAAACCACTCGAGGCGATGAACCAAATCCAAGCGCATCCCGCCACCGGCGTCGTGGTGCCGCACGAAGAGGCCACAGGATACTATGGAGCTGGCGGGGTCGACAAGGCGGGCGCAGGCACGTATGTAACGGCCGAGGAAGAATCGCAGCGTGGAGTTGCGAGCGCTGCTCGTGGAGCTGTGAATCCGGTGCTGGAAGGGGATGCGCGGAGCAAGGGCCGGTGGTTTCAGTATTTGAAGACGAAGCAGTTTTGGATTACGTTGGTGTTGGGACAGGGTATGTTGGTTTTGTTCTTTGCTTTTCTCCCGTGGTGTGATTTGTGAGGAGGACTTGCCTTCAACGCGATCCTGGTGGTTCCTCTGATCTGACGAGGCGGTTGGGAAAAGGGAGGATTCTTTTGTTTCTGGCTAATGGGATGGGATGTAGTGCTTGCTATCTGCATTACATCGACAAACACGCTTTCCACTCTCCTGGCCAACGAGGGCACGTCGATTCCAGCCTTCCAGTCGTTCTTCAACTACGTTTTGCTCAACTTGATCTACACGACCTACACCATCTACCAATACGGGCTCAAAGGCTGGGGGAAACTCATTCTCAAAGATGGCTGGCGGTTCTTCATCCTCGCTTTCTTTGATGTCGAGGGTAACTACTTTGTGGTACTTGCTTACCGCTATGTACGTTGTTCCTTGCTCTCTTTCTCTTTCCTTCCCATCCACCACCATTCTAACCAGACCCAACAAAAACCCAGACCACCATCCTCTCCGCCCAACTCATAAACTTCTGGGCCATCGCCGTCGTAGTCATCATCAGCTTCCTCGTCCTCCGCGTCCGCTATCACTGGACCCAAATCTTCGGAATCCTCATGTGCATCGGCGGCCTAGGCGTCATCTTCGGCTCCGACCACATCACAGGCGCCAACAACTTTGGCGCCAGCGATGCCGTCAAGGGCGACCTCTTTGCCCTGCTCGGCGCCACGTTTTACGGCCTCAGCAACGTGTTTGAGGAGTGGCTTGTGTCGGAGCGGCCGCTGTACGAGGTCGTGGGTCAGTTGGCGTGGTGGGGCATGTTTATCAATGGCACGCAGGCTGGCATTTTCGATCGTGCTGCTTTTCGGTCGGCGACGTGGAATGCCAAAGTGGGCGGGTATTTGACGGGCTACACGTTCATCCTCACGCTGTTTTACAGTCTTGCACCTGTTCTGTTCCGCCTGTCTAGCGCCGCCTTTTTCAACATCAGTCTTTTGACGGGCAGCTTCTGGGGCGTGGCGATTGGCGTCGAGGTGTTTGGGCTGAGCATCCACTGGATGTATCCAATCGCGTTTGTGCTGATCATCATCGGGCAGGTGATTTATTTCTTGAGGCAGAGTCTTGTGGGCGAGGCGTTGAAGCCTTGGCTGGGCGTTAATCAGGAGAGGGGACATGCTGGGTTGGGGACGGCGAAGAAGAGGGTCGAGAGGCCCGAGGCTATTGTTTAGCGAGGCGTTGGGGATTGGGATGATATGAGAGCGGGAGTACTCTGCTCTGGCTAGGGGATAGGTCGTGCTTTACCCATAATGTTAGATAATGTTAGATGAGAATCTGAGCGTATCGAAGGATATCGTAGGATGACTTGGTATGCCGCCATCACTCTGCCGCATAATCCAACTCAATGAAAAAGCCTAGCACCATCAACCCCTTCATCAAAGATAAGATCACCAACATCTAGTTCTCATCCCCCCCGAAAAAGTCGCCCACTGTTCTCCCCTCACAAACCCGCCATCGTTTCCCAAAGCCTCACCTGCCTCATTGAAAGCCAGTCGAACCATCCCCACATCAACTCAGCGAAAGGATTAAACGCCTAGAAGCTCAAAGAACAACGTCGGCTTTTGATTTCCAGAGTTTCTGTCTGGAATGATGAATTGCGTGATTTGCAACAACAAAGTCTCTCAGGCACCTTATCAACCTGGCTGTATAGTCTGGCTTGGAACAAGTAGCGTCACAATGAGTTGGCAGCCAGCAATCACAGACTTTTCAAACCACCAAGATCATCGATCCAGAATATAGTGCATGGCTCACGGACGAGCCGAATGAAATCTAATTATCGTGCGAGACATCTACTGTGACCCCTAAACTCCCCTTGCCCGTGGTATCATGTCCTCACCCACCCTTATAACAACAAGATGCCATTCCCTGGTGGCTACACGCGCCTGGAATTGAAGATGAACCAAAATGCTCCCACGCTCGCCAAAGTGCAAATGCTGAAAGTAAAACATACCTCAGGAAGAGGAAGCAGAATCTTCGGCCGCGGGGGACAGAGCGGCCGCACGGTTTGAGCGCATCGTGTTGACTGCGTTATCAACCTCAATGGTTGCCATCTGCTGCCATTTTTCTCTAGTCTCTTGATCAGCAAGAGCATCTGCACCAGCTTCGCCGACCTTCTCATATAGTAAACGGGAGACATCGCGGTTGATATCAGTGTACTCTTCTTTTGTGACCTCCTTTTTCAGATAGAGAGGTTTTAGTACTGCTGTGACCATTCGCTGTAACTCAGCCTTTGTCGAATATGATAGTGTCGGACGTGATGGTGAAGAGTCCTTCGAGCGAGGCGGGCTACTGAGACCCGCAGAACGATAGGTGAGTCTGCGACGGCCGGTTCGATCATCGTCGGCAGGAGAATATGGCGAGTACGTTGGCGAATGTTGTTGATCTTGATTCTCAGCCGATTTGGAACGGCCAAGATTTAGTGGCGGTGGTGTGGACATGCCTGGTGGCTTCTGATAGACAGGAGATAACCCAGGCGAGGAGTGCTGAGGAGAGCAAGCACGCTCGACGATGATGTGACGTGGCTTTGGCGCAACGATTTCTTTTTCGCGCTCTGCAAACCTATCTACCACCACTTCTTGTAGAAGTGATTGAAGGAAGCCCGTCGCCAAGGTTGTCTCGCCTGTTGTGGCCGCTACTGGCGATGAGGCTGTAGCAGGAGGATTAGGGTTGTTGGCAGTAGTCGTCGTAGTCCGACGCGATCCAGCCCCCGATGGCTCGCCATTGTCTATATTCAGGCGAGTGCGGGGACGCTTTAGTTTGCGCTCTGGTTGCTGTTCACGAGGCTCAGGCTCGACAGGGGACGAGTCAACAGACTTCCGCTTCCGCCCGCGGCGACTGCTTGTACTAATCACACTTGGTGTGGGCGGGCCCTCTTGTTGTTCCAACTGTTCGCGTGCCTTCTCGAATTGGTTCCATGCGCGCAGCTCTTCTTGCGACTCGGGATCTTTGGGGGTTCTCGGAGGTTCGCGGTGTAGTGTACGATTGGTCGGGTGGGATGATCGGTTGGAGCCACGACGACGGCGATGAACGTTATCAGCAGCGGCTCGAAATCGAGTACCAGCGCCAGCCTGCCGCGCGAGCTCGAAGCGGCGCTCCCATATATGATTCTCCCGTCTCAGCACTTCAGAGTGATTCTCGGAAGGTTCGTCATCCTCAAAGGGAAACTCGATGTCGAATTGCAGTCGATCCCACACGCTTTGCCAGACTCCAACCCACTCGTCTGGTGCGCGATTATTGCGTGGTACACGACTTCTCCCATTGACCCATGCGGCAGGGCCTCGAGCAGCGGGGCGTCGGCGGGCCGCAGCCTCCAGGAGCCCCGGGTTTTCGACACAGCCGTGACAGTACCAAGGTCCGCGCGTGGGCATCCGATCGAGACCAGCGCAGAAGACGTGGCAAAGTTGCTCACAACTATGACAATACATGAGCTGTGAAGCATCGCCGAACTCATCACAGACCATGCATGCATCGTAGCTTCCGTCATCCTCCAATGTGTAGTCGTCCTCGATGATCATGGAGGGGTCGATGTCAGCGACCTGTTGCTTGTCTTGCACAGCATACTCAGACAGTTTGGGGCCTGCTTAGATATCAGTAACTGATCAGTAAGGAATGTCATCTCATGTGGCAGCTTGTTGGCGCTGAAGGGCAGAGGTTAAGCTGAGCGCTCGACTGACCATTTAGCCAGTAGCCGGGCCGCTACCGCACAACACCAGCAACATTGCAGGTTGTACTGTCCGGTGAGATCCTGGGTTCACATACCTCCAACGCGCACGCTGAGTTCGACCATGTTGAAGCTCGCTCGACAGATCGGACAGCTATTCGCTCGTTCCACCCAGGGCTTGAGGCAGTCGTTATGTAAATCGTGGCCACATGGCAATAAATGCGCGACTAACTCGGCATCTTTGTCGGAAGCAGCAGAGGCCCTGGTGCTCTTATCGGCATGTTGGAGGCCAGTATCAGCCCCAACTCCAAGCGGAATGGTCGCAAGCGCCGGTTGGGTGGCGGTTGGGACTTGGTCCTGAGGAACAAGTTCACCGAGGCAGACTATGCAAGTCTCCGCCATGTTCGAGGTGTATTGTTAGGTGAAAGTACGCGAAATCGAGTCGATGCGGCATGAATGGGAACAAGGTGTTGTTGTAAGAGAGGACGGCGCGGGGGTTTATAAGAGGCGCCTGGGATGCTAGCGTAACTTGGCATTCGTGACCTGTGGGCAGCCACAGCCTGCAAATGGTGTGTCCGTAGTAAGCGGCCATGGCTTGCATCCCAGAAACCCCGTGACGAACGTCAAACCAGTAGTAAACGAAAATGGTACTCTACCTTACCTTTGTTAATACAAAGAAAGGCCCGAAATCCGCGGGGTATCACTGTAATGCGATCCTCCAAGATGACTCGCGTAGCCATCTTGACTTGCCCTGGGCTTCCTCTGCTTATCCCAAGGAGACTTACCAGGTCGGTCAATCAAAGGTTACTCGGAATGCAAAAAATGTTTCAGAACTCTATTGCATTCGCTAGCGGCTTCTTGAAATGGCCGAGAATGATCGACTGATCGTGTCATCCTGTCCGCATTCGGAACCGCTCGTGATAAAGCCAGTCGAGCTGAATAAGACGATAGATCACGGAACATCTGCAGCGTCTCAGTAGTGAGAGTTCGAGTAATTCGTCGAGGGCGTGGAATTGATCCATGGTCATGACCCCTCAGTCAGCGAAAAGCCCGGTGTCCTTGTAGCATACGTATAGCGGTCCAGATCTTGCGAGCTGAGACACGGTTCCATCGCAGGGCGCTTGGTAACTCATCGATGCATTCGATAACATCACTCACTCCATGGATAAGCAACCGTGGCCAAATCCTCGATCATCGGCTTACGGCTGAGCTTCTGATCCATGATTTAGCCAGGTGCGCTGGTGAACGAAGGAGACGTCCGATCAATAGATCTATGACTCAGCTCGCTCTTAGAAAAGCTACACTCGATATCAACCAGTTCGCTGCACTCTGGAGAATGTATTGTGGGATCGTTCGCTGCGAACCTTGGACAAAGGGTTGAGGTGCGGCAGCGCATGGCAAAGGCGCCATGCTGTGTGAGCGCATTTGGAGAAGAATTAGCTGTGTGGTACCAGGGATGGAATTGTATGGATCTTGTATTTCTATAGCTAAGGCTCGCGGCTCTGTAAGCGCCGGACGAGGTAGCCGCTCGACGCGGAGTTTGACAATTGCGTGGCGGATAGCGGATGCCTCCTTGAACCAAGGTTTACGCGTAGAGTCGGTTGGTGGCGACCTACACAAGTCGGGCGTGTTAGCGACGCTGTATTGTAGGTATGGGTATCGCAGGGAGTATCGAGAGATCCAGAGCTAAACAAGAGCCCTGTAGCCTCACTATCTGGCTGGGAGAGCCTATTCGCCAGGATGTGAGCTTCACTAAAACGCGTAGGCAGTGGACTAGCAGGCAAAGGCTTTCACCCTGTTGTCTGAGGCTGCTTGTGACTGAAGCTTGGATTGTCGTAGCGGTGAAGATTTGTGTTGTTGTGAGGGGCATTTACTTCTAGAAAGCACGTGCCTAGGCCTTTAACCGGATTGGGGCATCAGACTAGTTCGCAGTCATACCTCGATTCTCTCTGGTATTGTATTCGTGAATTGTAGGTCGTTGATCAAATTGATGGGGATCAGTGAGGAAGAGTGACGATGTATTGGTTGTCTCATGAGGGCAGAATTCGTGTGCACTAGACTGATTTTCACGAGACAAAACATGTCAACTCCCAATAATCAATTTCTCGACGTCATGTTGGCGAACCTCGGCAGAACCTTCATCGCTCTCGCCCAAAGCAGGTCTTCGTCCGAACTCGTTTGTTCAACAGCAAGTGCGATGAGGTTTTTGCCAGTTCAGTAGTTCTCGGCTTTTTCCCGAAAGCCTCACTACCAGCTACTCAGCCCTCATCCACCATCAAAAGCAGTCGACGGGATGACGAACGAAACACGACAGTACGAACTCATTCTGCTTGGAGCTACTGGATACACTGGGAAGCTCGTTGCAGAGTGGATCACCACTCAACTTCCACCGGATCTCAAATGGGCAATTGCTGGCCGAAATGCGAAGAAGCTCCAGGCTGTCGTGGATGAGTTGACGGAGCTTAGTCCCAATCGCAAACAGCCAGGTAAGTAGCTCCAGCATCCACCGAATCGCAAAGGACCACGAGATATGGACCTAATACCATGCAGACATTGAAACTTGCGAGATCGATCCTGAGCAGCTGAATGCTCTCGTTGTCAAGACCAAGCTTCTAGTCACGACCGTTGGGCCATTCATGCATTATGGGGAACCTGTTCTCGCTGCCTGCGCCAATAATGGCACCCACTACTTGGACAGTACTGGCGAAGTACCCTGGATCTATGACATGATTGCGAAGTACGACGAGGTCGCGAAGAAGAATCACAGTATTATCATACCCGAGTGCGGTCTGGATTCTGTGCCAGCAGATATCATGGCGTACGTCTTGGCAAGAGAAGTCCGCAAGCGATACAATACAGCCTGTGAGCGTGCCATTATGACACTCTACGACTTCAAGTCTGGCGTTAGTGGAGGTACAGCTTTGACCATGCTTGAGCTGTTCAACAACTACTCATTGAGTCACCTCGGAAAGAGCATGCACCCGTACTCTTTGTCGCCTGTCAAGGCGGCCCAAGTGGTAGGCCCGCCGAAGGGAAGCCTTCTCTACCGTCCCTTTGGTCTCCTGTCCATCCCTGAGCTAGGTGGTGTCCAGACGACTGGACTTATGGCTAGTGTGGATGAATGCATTGTGCACCGCTCCTGGGGTCTTTATGAGTCTTCGAGCGATCGCAACCTGGCTTACGGCTCAAAGTTTCGCTTCAACGAGTTCGCACGTGCGACGGGCTTCCTTACAGGCTTGGCTCAAAAGCTGGCGCTTGGCCTCACAGCCGTACTCCTAGCCATCCCCTTGTCGAGATGGATTCTTGCACCAGTCCTCAAGAAGTTCGTCATTCCTAGCCCAGGCAGCGGGCCTACAAAGGAAAGTATGAAAAAGGATTTCATGAACTACCGCGCTGTGGGGATCGCAGAGGATGGTAGAGGCAAGGTGATGGCACACATGGATGTTGCCCACGGTGGATATGTAGCGACAGCCATTACTCTGAGCGCCGCCGCTCAAGTGATTATTCGGGGCCGTCTGGAAGACACGGAAGCTGGAAAGCTAGGAGGTGGTATCTTGACGCCGGCGACACTAGGCGACCAATACGTCAAGACACTGAACGAGTTCGGTATGAAGATCAGAGTTGACGATTGAACGCGATGGCGGATGTTCCAGGTGCAAGCGACATCGGGGGCTGCGAACACTGCTGCTGACGTCGGGTTTCCATGACCGCGTTGTCAACAAAAGAGTTTTCGGGCAGCATCGCAGTTGTTACCCAACGCCAAACACTTATTCAGGTTTGTATACTAATTCCTCGTGTAATAATTCTTCTTTCTGATTTCTATTTTATCCTAATATCTCAAAGTCTGTTTGATGAATACACTACGTAGATTATAACCTGCGAGTCCGAACTCAAATTATAAATGAAGGCGAAAAGTAATTCTTTCCTTTACAACAAGAGGGATATGATTTTGTAAAAAATCGATGATCTCGCTCTGTCTCTAGATTTACAGGTTCACGCTTGGGCGGCTAATTAGGAAGTCTTGATCATCATCATCCCAGTGGCATAGAGGCTAGCCTATGAAAGGTCTTCTATAGACAGCTAGACTAATATGAAGGTGATAAAAGCTCTACCGAGGGAAGGCAGCAAGAACCCTATCATACTCCGCCTTGGTGAGCGGTGTAACACATCCATGCTTGAGACCTGCAGGCCATCCATCCGTATTGCTTGCTCCCCAGCTTGGTGACTGAATATTCGTCGTCTCATATGGCAGATACTGCACATAGTTGTCCAGCAGAAGATGGTATTTGCCCTTGACCAAGTTGTCCGCAAAGCTCGCAGCGCCTTCCCAAGGACTTCCCTCCCTAACGTACCCTGGCACTCGTTTCCAGCTTCCAAACAGGCCACCCGTGGTAGTCTCCTGCCAGACTTGATTGACCGTCTCGTTCTTGATGAAACGCGCATAATGTCCCGGAGTCCCAAGGTATTGGAATTCCTGGTCGATAACGGGTGTGCCGGAGGGCGCATAGTAGTCCCGTGGTGCGCTGAAGGTAGCAAAGTCCTTGGTCGTTGCATAGCGAATGCGGTCGGGGCCTGCAACGCCCGTGTGGCCTGGGTCATTTGAGGAATACAGTCTTGATGCCCAGAAGACGTAGAATTGCGAGGATGCAGAGTCGTAGACGGCGCTGGGGGCCCACACCATGCCTGCGTTTGCACCTTCGAGTGGGACGAGTTTGGGAGCAGACCAATTGACCAAGTCTTTGGAGGACCAGACTACAATTCCTCGGCTGCCCTGGCGAGTTGCAACGTCCCAGTTGAAGCCTGGAGCGTTGATGTCCAGATCTAGATTCTCCGTTAGTCGCACTCTTCTTGATCTTCGTCATCGATGATGATCGTACCTGTCGCAAACATGTACCACTGTGTTCTTGCATCATTTGTCGTCAAGAAGATGTCTCGCACGCCCCTTGTTCCCACCGTAGACGTCAATACTTCTTTTCCCTTGTTCAACTTGAAGAACTTGGTAGCCGAGTTGCCATTGGATAGATAGAGTTGAACCCTAGGATTTGGATCGGAGAAGGTGGAGATGAGGTAGCCTGCATATGTACTGGTCTGACGCGCAGCATTCTCAATAGGATTTGCAGCTACATATGCGGGAAGGAGTGCTGCAGCTACAGCTGCGAATAAGCCAGAGAGCCGCATTTTCCAAAATGGTGGCACGCGAGTTGATGGAGTGTACCATCTTCTCGATTGAATTTCTGCCTTTTAAACAGTAAGATTGCTCACCGCATCAGCGGGTGCAGAGACCGAGGCTGATGGTGTTCGGACAAACGCCGTCATGTTGCGCACAGGCATGGTATCTAGGTCATCCACGATCCCCGCATTGTACCCCATGGTACCGATGGGGTCGGCAATTTCCCCGGACAACACCTTTCCTGATGTGGCAAGTAACCATAACATCGCGTGGACACGGAGAATTCATAGTTCCACCATCTATAAAGCACGGCACGGCAGTTTTTTATCATGAAATTTCAGGTTTTTGCCATAAGTCTAGCTATCATTGTTCCGGCCTGTAGGTAAGTAATTGTTGTCGCCAACAAAGTCTTGGTACGCTCACTTCTTTTCACGATGTAGCTACCTTTAATAATATCCTGTTAAAAAAAAAGCTTCTACATTGCACATGATTGATCTGTAAGGATCTCGGTAGATAAGCGTCAGGATTCGAGGCTAAAAATTGCGGCTCCAAACGCGGTACTAAGGCTGATCTCTGTCATGCATTCTAATTCTTACGGTATTGGCAGCTCCAACATTTTCGCAACATTCAATCATGAAATTTAGGACTGAGCGAACAGCTCTGTTGCTATTTCAACTCTTTGATAGCTTCTACCCATACGTCTTTGGCCTTAGCATCGCAAATGTATTAGACACTGTCGATGATGGTCGTGACTTCATCACGCCATACGTAGAATGTCGGACTTTGCAGGCAAACTTTCCTGACCATCTCCTGAGAATATTTGTGGCCGGCAAGGTCTTCTTATCTGCTCAGGAAAGAACAAATATGAAGAGATATAGCCGCAACGCGCGATCTTGGAATCGAGCCGTACTAGATACTTCTATCAGAAAGCAATTCAGACATGTCGGATCAGTTTTTCATGAAAAAAGATGAAGTTCTAAAATGAAGAAGCTTGCATGGGAGCTTGGATTTGGACGACTGTAGTTAGGTGATTACTAGATGAAAAAAGCTCCCACCGAGAAACACTCCACGAGTACCCTTTGCGTATTGGCATTGGTGTCATTTGGATTTCTCCGACAGTTTGAGTTTAATCATAGACTACCGGCTAATCCGACTACAATACTTCCAGATCGGAAACGACAGGTCTCCATTGCAAGAACCAGCAATGATACGACATCACATTGTTCCGATGCAGAAGCAGAAGATTTTCAGGGAATTCTGCTTCGCACGAGCGCTAGGTTGAAGTCTAAGACATGGCGATTAAGCATGGCGGTGTTAAATTTAGCTATGGTACGCACACTCTATCTTCCGGGCATTTTGAACATGTCGGTCGATATTCCAGATTCCATAGTCCAAGCAAGGTTGCCCGCGCAGGAAGCTATTATAATTGGCTTTTTGAATGTCCATGAGTACCGGTAAAAGATTGGACCCGGGAAACAAATGTTCCAGACGGCCTCATGAAACACTCGGTCACCGTATCGTTAGCCACGCCCGTCACCGCACGGGAACACGGAACGTCAATCCCTGCATAAATTGTAACTTGACGTGATCGTAAACTCCCGTGACAGTCATTAAAATCGAACAAAGCACATGAACACCCTTTAATGGTTACTGTATATTGGATCACTGCTTTTCAGCGCCAAGCCCACTGACCAATGTCAACGACTGGGTACCGGTATATTGACTGCATCTATCTAAAAACTCATAAAGTCTACCATGCTTCCTCGCATTACGGCATATCTACTTGGCGCATGAAAACGCTTGAATCAGAATGTCCTTGCTTATATGAGCAGGACATACTATGTACGATGACCGATGGACCCGAAACTCTAATTCATCATACGAGAATGTTTCTGGCAGAAGGAGGAGAACCTTGGGCACAGGGGGAACCCGGGGTATTGTCTGGGATGGGTGCGGTGCCAGAACGAAGGGGAACCGGGTTTTACGGACTCATGTTTCGATACTATTCTGCATCCAGCTTCTACTGCTATTGGCTACTCTCTTGTGTGTCAGACCATTTGGATTAATCTGGTTTAAGCAGGACGCTGTTTCTTGGGGCATTATGCTGAGATTCCTTGGCGTCATTTGTGTGTGCCTTCCTTTACCCGGATCAATCGTGGAATTCCTCTGTCAATGAGCGAGACTGAATTCGTCTTGGGCAATCGGTCCCCTGATATTCACATCTGAATTGTGGTATAACTCTGGTAAAGCATTTAGGTAGTTGAGGGAGAAGGAAGACTGGTCTTGGAAAATACCATGTTCCAAATTCGTTGGTTACAGTACTTCTTTAGTCATCGTTCGCACTATGACTTTATTGATCACATTGCGCAGACTTCTCGCGCTGCAACAACTGAGAAAATACACTTGCAATACGACTCGTGGTGTTCCATGGCGTGCGGAAGGAAGCAACATGTTACCAAGCGGGTCAAGGAAGATGTATTGTTAGTAGAGTCGATGAAGTAATACACAGAAAGAGTAACAGTCCGGATAATCCTGGGTTTGAACCAGAAATTCCTGATATAATTGCTCCACCGGAGATTTATCTTTTGCCGTAAGCAGGGAGAGCAGAAGGACTGTTTGGTTCTTAATTAACACTACCTAGCAGTGAGAGCAGTACATGTGATAAACTTCATTGCCAACAAAGAGACGTTCATTGAAACCTCTTCGGAAGGTTTTGAGAATCATAGAATGATGGAGGCCACTTGCTTGGTTTACTTGGAGTTTTGAATGTTCGGTGCCATTGAATAATATATACAGAATGTAAAGTATTTAGTTATACAGACAAGATCAATGGCAAAACATCCCAGCCACTTCAACGCAAGTAATGAAGAAATATACCGGAAACAGCCATGAAGAAAGCCCGAAATCTACCAGCCACGCTCGCGCTTAAGGTTCATCCACCAGTCCCTCGCCATCCAAGCATCAAACTCCGTAATCTTCATGGCCGAGCCCGCCTTCATGAGGAATTTGTCCACACCAGTAGGGGTCCAGTCGTAGAAGTCGTCGAGAGCAAACGTGTGGCCGATTTCATGGAGAACAATGTGAATGTCCTCCTGCTTGATGTTGTCCATGAAGTACTCGGTGGAGACGCGCTGGCCCCAGTCGCCGCCTGCGCCGCCGCCGAAGCCGGGTGTGAGCCAGAGTGATTGGTCTACGAGTGGAAGTTAGTATCTGTCCATGTAATCGTACGTGAGCGATGTGCTTACCATAGTGACGGTCGGCGCCTGCTTTGCAGCCGCTGTAGTCACCGTCCTGGTGGTGGAATCGACCACAGCCCGGCGCGCACTCCGGGATGCCATTTTCATCTTTGGTCGTGTAGACTTGGATCTTGCTAACGTCGCCTTCCAGTTGGTTTTTATCATTGACTGCCCAACCAACGACTTTGACATCGACGGTCTTGTAAGGGAAGCCTTCAAAGTCGGCGAGGACGTCGATCCACTTCTTGAATTGCCTGCGAATGGCAGTTTCAATCTCCCCACGCTGGGAAAGGCTGACTTTTTGGTTGCCCTCCCATCGCACGCAGTAGTTGATCTTGCCCTTTGCTGCCATGACCTGGTCGTAGCCGAAGTTCTTGAAGTTCATGCCCTGGTTACCGTAGGTATCCATCTGGTGCTTCCACACCTCCTCCAGTGGTTTGACCAAGTTGGCGGGAGGGTCCCAGGTCTTCTTCCCAAGGTCGCGCTTCAAGTTGGCAAGGGTGTTACCGTCACCTCCCCAGTTTTTGTCGTAGAAGCTGTGTTCCTCGAAAGTGCAAACAGGTTGGGGGTTGGCAGCACGGCGCTGAATGCCAGTCTGCACGTCGCCTGGGATCGCGCCAGCATAGCTAGATGCGACGAGCGCGGAGAGGGCCAAGGCGTACTTCATTGTGGATTCAAGGAAAATGATATAACGTATAAAGAATGAAGGGGATGCTCTGCACCACTGATAGATTTTTGGAGAATGGAAGAGCACTGAAGGCAGTCTTGTTTGAAGAAAAGAACGTAATGGAGGAAATCCGATGTGGCTCACAACATACAGGCTGACTCTGCAAACTTTTATAATGGAGAATCCATTTACTGGTCCCTCGCCCCTGTGACTTACCCTTGCAGCCTTGCAGCCTTGCTCATGCCATGTCCATCTCACGCGTTTCTCAGCATTGTTTTAGATGTTACGTAGCGGCTCTTGGAGTACAGAAACACGAGACTTGCCATTAGCGAACCTACCGTTCGATCTTGATAAAATGCGGAGACGGCCTTTTTCGAATGCAGTACATAGGTATCGAGAGGTATCGAGATGGCTGTGTGGTTTCGGCCATGCAGTAGCAAGGTGATCAATCCCACAAACCGTGCATCTCACTTTAGTTACTTTCCACTGTACCCTTGATCGATACGAGAGACCTTGCTTGCAAGTCCCAAGTGAGTAAATTCTGGGTGAACGTTCCCATGGCCACGGAATGGGCATCGGGAAATTGTGTTTGATGAAACAGAAGGATGTCCCACCCTGTTGCCGATCAAACTACCAAACGCCTCAATGGAGTTCTATTCCCCGATCGCGTTGTTTCCCTAGGCAGTGCATCGGCAATCTTTCTCCGTTGTGCCATTTGTGCGGCACTGCAGCGCTTGTCAAGGAATATACGAGTGGTCTGGGGTACATTAGTGGATGGCCAAGAACATTCCTTCGTATTTAGACGCGTGTCAGGGGTTCTGGCCAACGGATGAAAATGTGGCGAGAAGGAGTATATGGGCTTGTGGCAAACAAAGGTTGGCCACCGTGATTGATGTTCTAAAGGTCTGGATGAAGATGTCGTTCCGCGTATAGTAGTGCACGCTATCTACCGGTAGCCGCCGTTGACTAACGTTAGGCAGTGCGGGTAAGTTACCGGTACGGCGTAATTGCGGCGGAGCGAACTGACTTTATTGGAAGGTAGGTAGAGGGGAAGGGGCTCTGACACTTAGCCCAGAGAACCCAGCGCTGCCGACATCGATTGGAAGAAGATGCGTCGAATATCTTGCACATGACGTTGTAACGCTCAAAGCCCTTCGTCTGACCAACAAGGATCTCAGCGCCTTAGCCACCAACGCGCTGTTCCGTACTATCACCATCCGTACCAACGATGCAAGTATCGAGAGGTTCGGAAGATTATCCACATCGACAATGCGGGAGCTAGTCCATGCCGCGGTCGTCAATACCTCCGAGGATCCCGACTTCCAGGGCGGCGGGCAAGACGAGGCTGTGATTCCACAAGATTGTAAAGGTGCCATCACCGCCTTGTTCACGTTTCTTGAAAATACAATAATGCCCATTCGGTCCATCAGACCAAGTTCTCATCATCCACTCCTCTTACTTTACCTCTTTGCTCACCACTACCGTATTATCTACCACTACTCCCCCCTCTCTTCACCCTACACCTCCCACTCTCCCCCACCCCTCCAAACCACAACTCATCCGTCCGCAACACTGGCCCCCTCCGACACTTCCTCCAAACATCTCCTGTGCCCACAGCGCGCACAGATGTTGCTGGCTCGTGCGGCTGGGCAACTGCCATGACCTATTGCGGATGAGAAGCGGGATTAGTGGATTGTGTGTATGCAGCGTATGCAGTATAGACTTGTGTGCCAGAGATAGAGGCCTTACAGCGATGGCAGGACCATGTGTAGAGAGAGGGGGGGCTGGGGATGCTTGGGTGGGTGCCCATGGTGCGGTTGGGGGGTAGGGTTCGGGGGCTGGAAGGAGGTTTCTTGAGAGGTTGGAGGGCTGGGGTGAGGGTTTTGTGCTGGGATGTTTGGGGCTGTGGTGGTAGATATGACGGGCCACGTGTATTGATGTCGTGGTTTCTGCCTTTTGTTGGTTTTCCACTGGCAGCGCTCGAATCTATGATGTGAATGTGTCGCACGGCTGTGCATGCATTGGCTTCCCCCTGTTCTCACTGTAGTCGAAAGGCGAACTGAACATGTCTGTTAGAATGTAGCAACTCCAGCGACAAGAGGAATGCTGCGATCAATCATTTCATAGCAGGAGCCGGAGTTCCAACTTTCCGCCCCATACGTCCATACATTGTCTTCCCATCCTCCCTTTCCACCATTCTCAACCCACTAACCCACTCCACATCCTCGTCCTCCACCCCCTCACTCTTCGTCCCCACGGCATGAGGAATAGGATACTTTGCATTCCCTAGATCCACAATCAGCATCACAGTTTCACATGAAAAAAAAACAGACATCATCTGCCAACCTACCCATCCCAAACGGTCTAAAATTATGAAGAACATTCTCCCACCCACCCGCCGGCACCTCATACGTCTCGTGCATAATCCCAATATGCGGAAACGCCTCGGCCGCGCCCTGCTCCCACCACATCTGGCCTTGCATGTGCGCCGGGCCATGCGCAAACCTGTGCAGGCCTGCGAGCGTCTTCCAGTAGCTGAGGTAGACGACTGTCTTGCCCTGCTCGTCGGAACGCGCGCCTGTGTCGTGGGTGCTGAGGCCGGGCGTGTTGCCCAGGAAGCCGTAGGTGGAGCGGTTGGCAGAGGCTGCATCCCACATGCGCGTGAAGTAGGCGCCTAGTTGTTGGCTGCCGGGGGAGAAGCGGCCGTTGGGGTGGGACCAGCTTGCTGCGAGGACGAGGATGACGATGGAGGAGGTTGTGGATTCTGATGGGTTGGGGTCGTTGTGGTTGGTTGGTTTTGGGGTGGGGATTTGCCAGGTTTGGCGGCCGTGGATAATATCCTTTGTGATTGGGTTTGCGAGGCGTCCGATTGCAATGAGGTAGCTGTGGAGGAGGCGATATGTTATGAGGACAATGGGTGGGAGAAGGGATATGGTCCTTGGTAGGCTGGCCACCAGAATGGATTGGAGGGTTGCGCCCAGGAGGAGCCAGGTGGATATGCTGTAGTCGCTTGCTGTAGCTATGTTGAAGATTTTGGGTGCCATTGCGGAGAAGTGGTACTTGAGGTTTGCTGTTCACGTTGGGTCTCAACCTTTATTTCGATACCGGTGTCTGGGGTCGTTTGGGATGGGATGACGGACAGGGAGGGTGGCCTTGCCCTCTTGTACCATGCGGCCTGTCTTGGTAGAGAACGATGGACTGCCAGACTTGGTTAGCAGCATCGTGACGTAGTCTTGCGCTTCTCCACGCGCCGCCATGCTCTTGTACACGGCTGGAGAGGATGACGGAGTATTGGAGCGGAAGACGGGCGAACTTAATAGTAGTGTAGTCGTTGAAGAAGCGTCTGCGATTCTGACTGGCCATTTGTTCCGGCTTCAGGTACCGGTACTCTACCTGGCCCCTAGGTAGGTACGGAAGTTAAGCTTAGACAAGTGCATCTAACCAAGATCTCCAACCTAGACTCCTGACTTTACCGTACCGGTATACCTCAGAAGCGCCCAAGCTTGTTGACGTTGTGTGATGCATCGAGGAACACGCTACTACGAGCCTTGATGGATCTGCCAATCTTGTATCTACATAGCTGTCTAGTCAGTCACGGGACATGGGCCAGCAGACCATCTACCAGCACGTGCAAGGAGCCTACCGGCATGTAGCGACTATGGATCAAGGATCAAGTGTCCTGACAAACAACTACAACAACCCTACAGTTTGCAACTGCCAAGATGATCAATCGCTGATCCGTAGCCTTGTTCTTCGCAATCCAATTGTGGTGTCTGAGAAATGGACTACTTGTGTGTGTACTTGGGGCCAGGCCGGGTTAGGAGCAGTTTTGGCGGCGCACTGCCCTCACAAGCTTCGGCGTCCGTGCAGTCGCGGCGCAACCTTCAACCCTCGAACATTCATTCACCCCACACCACATTCTACACGCAAACCGCCTGCCAAACCTGCCCTCCGCCATCCGCTGCCTATAGACAACAATCCGAATCCACCTCCGTTCGCGTACCGCCCCCTTGCCGCGACCACGATGCTGGCAGCGCGTCTCTCCTAATTCGCACCGTCGAGGAATCTGCGCCATCTCACACACCCACACCCACACCCACCACCGCCGACGTATACCTCACCACATTCTGCCCCACACATACACACACGCACAAACACATCAACCAAGGCAAACACCGGGACTCCGGGAGGAATAGGAACGGGCAACACGACGGGCTTTTGCATGACGAGGAGGAGCTGCGGCGCTGCGTGGAGCAAGAGACGCCATGGCCGGTCGGCCACCGGGTCGGACGTCTCACCATGACAATCTGATCGATTTGGACGACCACCAGGCCACACAGCCTACACATTCAACGGCCGCCCAACCACATGCACACAATGACAATGACGATGGCTTGGCACCCCAAGGCCGACCCTCGGTGTCGTACGATGACTTTGTCGGAGGCAGACCAAACACGGCGGGCTTACCAGGCGGGCCTGGTGCTCCAACAGGACAGTCGCCCTATCTACAGACGGGTAACCGGGCCTACTCGCAGACCTCCGACTTGAACAACTACCAGCGGTACTCGGACGCGGACATTCCCGCCGATGACGATCACTCGATGCAGGGCTTCTATGCGGCGGGCGGCGCCTATGACCAGAACGCACCGGGCGTGGAACGCAGCTCATCCAAAAAGGCTCACAACCGGAATAGTATCCTGAGCCTTGGCGGTGGTCTGACAGGCCGAGTGAAGAACATGTTTGGACGAGGGTCCGAGTACTCGGAAATGGACTTGCCATTGACTGAGCACGCCGCACAGCAGGATCAGCCTGGAGCGAGCGCATACGATGACGGCCAGTCTACCAAGAAGAAATCCGGCCCGGGCACTGGCACCTTCAAGTTTGGCTTTGGGCGTGGCGCCCCGGACCCATCGACCTTGGGCCCCCGCATAATCCACTTGAATAATCCACCTGCGAATTCCCAGAACAGATACGTCGACAACCACATCTCGACCTCAAAGTATAACATCATCACATTCTTGCCAAAATTCCTTTATGAGCAGTTTTCAAAGTACGCCAACTTGTTCTTCTTGTTCACCGCGATCCTGCAACAGATTCCTGGAATTTCACCCACTTCGCGGTATACTACAATCGTCCCACTCGCCATCGTCTTGTTGGTGTCTGCGATCAAGGAATACATCGAAGACTATCGGAGAAAACAGTCGGATTCCGAATTGAACAATTCAAAGGCACAGGTCCTCAAGGGATCCACTTTTGCCGATACCAAATGGATCAATGTGGCAGTCGGAGACATCGTTCGTGTCACATCTGAATCGCCATTCCCTGCTGACCTTGTACTCCTCGCGTCCTCCGAACCCGAAGGCCTTTGCTACATCGAGACTGCAAACTTGGACGGAGAGACGAACCTAAAGATCAAGCAGGCCATTCCTGAGACGGCAGACTTTGTCAGTCCTGCAGAGTTGGCAAGGTTGGGTGGCAAACTGCGCTCGGAGCAGCCGAACAGCAGCTTGTACACTTACGAGGCCACATTGACCATCGCAACCGGTGGCGGGGAGAAGGAGTTGTCTCTTGCGCCAGATCAGCTGCTGCTACGTGGTGCAACGCTCCGCAATACCCCATGGATCCACGGCGTCGTTGTTTTCACCGGCCACGAGACGAAGCTGATGAGAAACGCAACCGCGACGCCCATCAAGACAACTGCAGTGGAAAGGCTTGTCAACAAGCAGATTCTCATGCTTGTCGTCATTCTCATTTGTCTGAGCATCGTCAGCTCTATTGGTGATGTCATTATCCAATCGACGCAGAGAGACAGTCTTGACTATCTGAAGCTTGAGAAGTTCAACGGCGCCAAACAATTCTTCCGTGACTTGCTGACATACTGGGTCCTGTATTCTAACCTGGTCCCAATCTCGCTCTTCGTTACCATTGAAATCGTCAAATACTACACCGGTAGTTTGATCGACTCAGATCTGGACATCTACTACGAACCCACAGATACCCCTGCTAAATGCCGAACCTCGTCCCTGGTGGAGGAGCTTGGCCAAATTGAATACATCTTCTCTGACAAGACAGGTACTTTGACCTGTAACATGATGGAGTTCAAGCAATCCTCCATCGCCGGTATCCAATACGCCGACGAGGTCCCAGAGGATAGAAGGGCCACGGTCGAAGACGGCGTCGAGGTCGGTATCCACGACTTTAAACAGCTCGAGCAGAACCGTCAGACACATCAGAACAGGCACATCATCGAACACTTTCTTACCCTCCTTTCCACGTGCCACACGGTTATCCCTGAGAGAGGTGGCGAAAAAGACGAGATCAAATATCAGGCCGCATCACCTGACGAGGGAGCCTTGGTCGAGGGTGCTGTGATGCTTGGCTACAAGTTCATCGCAAGGAAACCACGTGCTGTCATTATCCAGGTCGATGGTCGTCAGTTGGAATACGAACTTTTGGCGGTTTGTGAGTTCAATTCTACGCGAAAAAGAATGTCTACCATCTTCCGCACGCCAGAGGGGAAAATCATCTGTTACTGCAAAGGTGCAGACACTGTCATTCTGGAACGTCTGTCAAAAGACAACCCGCATGTTGAGACCACCTTGGTTCACCTCGAGGAGTACGCCTCTGAAGGTCTTCGAACGCTGTGTCTCGCTATGCGCGAGATCTCCGAAGAGGAATTCCGCGATTGGTGGACAGTCTACAATACTGCTATGACAACCGTCAGTGGTAACCGTGCAGAAGAGCTGGACAAAGCTGCCGAGCTTATCGAGCACGACTTTACGCTGCTCGGTGCGACTGCAATTGAAGACAAGCTGCAAGATGGCGTCCCGGACACGATCGCAACACTACAATCCGCCGGCATCAAAGTCTGGGTACTGACGGGAGATCGTCAAGAAACTGCCATCAATATTGGCATGAGTTGCAAGCTGATCAGCGAAGACATGAGTCTGCTCATCATCAATGAAGAGAACAAGGAAGACACAAGAGACAATATTCGCAAGAAGATGAGGCCGTCAACAGTCAAAACATGGGAGGCTCCGAAATGGATGTCCTTGCTTTGGTGATTGATGGAAAATCGCTCACATATGCCCTCGAGCGCGATCTAGAAAAGGAGTTTTTGGATCTCGCAATCAAGTGCAAGGCCGTCATTTGTTGCCGAGTATCTCCTTTGCAAAAGGCTCTCGTCGTCAAGCTCGTCAAACGTCATCTCAAGGCCATTTTGCTTGCGATTGGAGACGGAGCAAACGATGTCTCCATGATTCAGGCTGCCCACGTCGGAGTTGGGATCAGTGGTGTCGAAGGTCTGCAGGCAGCTCGAAGTGCTGATATCGCCATCGGTCAATTCCGCTACCTGCGGAAGCTTCTCCTTGTCCACGGCGCGTGGAGTTACCAGCGTGTCAGCAAAGTCATCTTGTACTCCTTCTACAAGAATATTGCCATGTTCATGACGCAATTCTGGTACTCCTTTCAAAACGGCTTCTCCGGTCAGATCATCTACGAATCGTGGACGTTGACCTTTTACAACGTTTTCTTTACCGCAGCACCTCCCTTTGTGCTCGGTATTTTCGATCAATTTGTGAGCGCACGTCTCTTGGACCGATACCCGCAGCTCTACCGCCTCAGTCAGTCTGGTGTGTTCTTCAGGATGCACTCGTTCTGGTCTTGGGTTGGCAATGGCTTCTACCACTCGTTGATCCTCTACTTTGGCTCCCAGGCCTTTGTCCTATGGGACTGGCCGCAATGGGATGGTCGAAACGCGGGCCATTGGGTCTGGGGTACAGCAGCCTACACGGCCAATCTGGCCACGGTCCTCTTGAAAGCCTCGCTCATCACCAACATCTGGACCAAGTACACGGTGCTGGCCATACCCGGCTCCTTCCTCCTCTGGTTCATCCTCATGCCCGTCTATGCCATTGTGGCGCCCAAAGCCAACATCTCCCACGAATATATTGGCGTCATCGAACGCCTCTTCCCCGATCCCCGCTTCTGGGCCATGGTCCTCGTCCTCCCCCCACTCTGCCTCATCCGTGATTTTGCGTGGAAGTATGCCAAGAGAATGTATTTCCCGCAAAGCTACCACCATGTCCAAGAGATTCAAAAGTACAATATCCAGGATTATCGACCGCGGTATGTGTATTCCCTTGCTATTTGCTGCCTTGGCACCCACCACCTTGATCAGTACATTCTAACACCTTGTCTTTTTAGCATGGAACAATTCCAAAAAGCAATCCGCAAAGTCCGTCAAGTACAGCGCATGCGCAAACAGCGCGGCTACGCCTTCTCACAGACGGATGAGTCGCAAGCACGTGTCCTGCAGGCCTACGACACCACGCAAGAGCGAGGACGATATGGTGAGATGGCAAGTTCAAGGACGTGATGTGGAACTGAAGGGTTTTATTGTTCTTCCAGGTCCCGGGCTGTTTGGGGAAACTGGGTGAGGTGGGCTGGGCGTTGCTAGGATTCATGATGTCGGAGTTTGGTCTTGTCTCTCTGTCTCTGTCTCTCTTCCACACACACACACACAATTTTTAGTCGTAGAGCAAGGGAAGCAAGCGCGGAAAATGCTATGGATGAAGTGTACATGCCGCGCTGATCGCAAGAGTTGACAGAACATGTACATGGTGAAATCGGCGCTGTGCTATACACGGCAATGGCTGGAGTGAGTGCTACGGTACCGGTATACCAGATTCCAAAATCTCTCCAAGGAAAATCCTCGTGTTATTTTTTTTTTGTTTCAACATACACTACCGCATCATCTCGCACCAGACTGTCGCCATGCCTTGCGTATTTTTTTTTTGGTTTTTTTTCAAGCGTAGATGCAGTATCGCAGGCACAGAACATGCTGTTACCTATAGCCATGTGCCGTAGATGTCAATTCCACCCTCAAATCACCAGTACAGGCCAGCTAACACCCATACCCATACCCATACCCCCCTCCCTACCCCATGCCCCCAAAACCTCCTAACCTATATACAACCGCGCATACATGCTTCCGGCCCCAGCTCACCCAGCTCACCCTACCCATGCCCTCTCCTCAACCACGCACGTCAACGAAGACATCACTTCTCCCCTCTCGCATCGCGCAGATCCTGTGGGGTGTTGATTTTTTCTTTTCCAGGCGGCTGAGATGCTGAGATGCTGGGTGTGGGTGTGGGTGTGACAGTTTTGAACATGGATTAGATGGAGGACATGGATTTTCTGGGATCTTTTTTTTTTTTCGGGTGATGGGGGTGGATGGGGGGATGGTGGGAGGGGGGTTGTGTGGGTTGGGGTGGCGGATTTTATCCGGTGCTTGTTTTGGGGAGGGTTTTATCCGTTTTGGGTGGGGGGGTCTGGGGTTGGGTTGGATGGTGGGGGTTTTGGGGGGGGGGGGGGAGGGAAGGTTTTTTTGGAAAGGGGTTTTGGGTGTGCTGGGAAAGAAGGTTTATATTCTTTGTGGGTTTTGAATACTTTTGTGGTTTTAACCTGCTGGGTTTTATACCCATGTGGGGGTTGATACAATGCGGGGGGATTGAGGGG